CTATCTTGCGTACATAACCAATGCCTTAAACTCTTTACTATTATGTAGAGGAATTAATATGCAAGTAATATAAGGCAATGTACAGAATGAGAAACATTAATTTTTATTTGTCAAAATAATGGCATTATTAATACATAGCAGTATACCCTTATTGGCAGTGCATTAAAAGTAAAAATCATTTAAAGAAAAAGTATGTATATTTTTTAATATATATGTAATAGTCAAGATTGTGAAATAACTCATATCCATATCATTCGTGAAGAAAAAAATTTTTTTTCTTACTCTGGTTTCACACTGGCTATTTAAATAAATGGAGTTTAAAGTTAATGACTTAACAAAATAAAAATATAGTTGAAATCAACCAACATGAAAGAAATATACACAGGTAAATATTTTATATAACTGCTGCGTTTGAAGGGGTTTTACGTAAATTTGAATTTATTGGATTCATTCTCCTCCTATTTCTCTTACCTGCCTGCCCTCTGCTGGATTCCCCAAACTTATTGACGTTTTAAGCAATCTTACTCAGTGTATTTAATAAAATTACATTTGTAGAATAAGTTAAGGGAAATGTGTACTAATGCTTCCTATATTTTGTTTATAATGTTACTAAAGTAAATGATTGATCATAGGTTTTACATTTTAAGTATTCATAAAGTGAGAATTTTAGTTGGATATTTGGAATTTTCAGTCCCACCATTTATGAAAACATGAGATAGAAATGCTGTTAATGCAGGAAATGTCAGAGCCTTTCAAAATTTTTCAGGATTGAGAAGCTGGGTGGGGCAGGAGGGACAATGAGGAAATATCCAATTTGATAGTAAATTCACAAAGTAAAAAAGTGTAGAATAATTTACTGTTTGATTAAAATTATAATGCTACTCCATTAAAAATATTGATTTAAATATAATATTCAGGGGCCTCCCTGGTGGCGCAGTGGTTGAGAGTCTTCCTGCCGATTCAGGGGACGCGGGTTCGTGCCCCGGTCCGGGAAGATCCCACATGCAGCGGAGTGGCTGGGCCCGTGAGCCATGGCCGCTGAGCCTGCGCGTCTGGAGACTGCGCTCCGCAACGGGAGAGGCCACAACAGTGAGAGGCCCGCGTACCGCAAAGAAAAAAAAAATAATAAAATAAAATAAATATGATATTCAGAGAATATGAATTTACTTGATAATAAAATTAGTATTTATGTAGCACTTATTATTTACCACATGCTAAGTACTTTATATATATTAACTCATATAGTCATCACAGCAACCTATGAGATATATACTATTAGTCTCCATTTTACAGTTGAGGAAATGAAGGCATGGCGAGGTTAAGTAACTTCACCAAGTTTACCAGCTAGTAAGTGAGGTAACTGGTATCCTAACCCAGGCTGTTTGGCTCCATGTTCTTTTCCTAACCGCCATGCTTGGCTGCCTCATCTCAATATTACTTCTTGTAAAATTTTTGAATTATAGACTTACTGTTATCCTGACCTTAGAAATGACAAATCAAAGCTCAGAGTTGTTAGGTGAATTTCCTAAAGCACCAGAATTACAAATGCTAATTGAATCCCCTAAAAAGATACAAAGATTAAAGACCCATCTGTCTTTTTTAGAAGGCTAGTTGCCATAAAGGAAGATAATTTTGTAATTCCTAAGGGCTCTAAATGTCCCTCCATTAATTGAGTTTTGTGACAGAAATGAATTATTTGACATCCTGGAGCATCTTCTGTGCTAATTTTAATAGCTGTGGTGACACAATTCTATCTTAAATTTTGTTAATTGACAAAAAAAGATATGGAGTTGTGTGCACATTTTGCTGACAGAAAATCATGGAAGGGAGTGTTAATTAAACAGAAATCTTATGTGGTCACTCAAATTTAAAAGGAAAAAATAATTGGCTTCTCATTTCCAGAATTACCTGGTGACTCCACAGAACAGTCAGCCGCTGTTCCTGTCACAATCTCATATTTGCCCCAAGGATATTCTGGAGTGGGAAAAAAATGCCAAATGGTCAAAGTTCAAGTAATTGTTCCTCTCTTAATGACCTAAAAATTGAGGTGACAGAAGTGCTACTTTAAAACTATAGCTTTAAAATGTGGTTGGGATCTAGAAGTTAGGCAAAGGCAATAATAGTCAATTAAAATAATGGGGTACTTATTGTGTGGCAGGTGCAATAGGGAGGTCAGAAATGAACACTGGTGCTTTGGATGTGAGAGTCGGAAATGTTGGAATGTGAGAATCACAAACAAGATTGGATATCAAAAGTCTTGGGACATGGAAATGAAAGTTAAAATATAGGAATCAAAATCTATAGGAATTAGGAGCACAAAATGGCAGGATGAAGGTATCAAAGATTTTAAAGTTTAGGAGTTGAGCTGTGGGGATGAGGATTCATGGGCTGTGGATGAGCTATGAAAATCAAGGGTGAAGAATGGAAGATGCAAATAGCCTGGCCATAATGAATTAGCTTATGCTGGATTAGACCTCCCACTGAAAACAATTATAAAAACGGGACAAATAAATATAAATATACATACATGTTTAACAACTATATTACATATATAACAACTATAAAGAAATAAATATGTATTTAACAATAATTTAACATATTAACAACCATATCACACTATATATATATATATATATATTTAACATTGAAGGTACTAGAGAACAACCAACAAAGGCAGGACTTAATTGGCTTCAATCCTTGAGAGCATGTGAGAGCATGAAAGCACTAAGGGCAAGATCCACATTTACTTCAGCTTTTCCCATCTCTTCCCCTCCCACCCCAAAAGCATTTTCCAGTTGGCACAAGGAGTAACAGAGCTAAATAGCAGCGATCTCAATAGGCCAGGAGCAGACAAGGGAGTCTGGGAACAAAAGCAGCTGAGATTCTAGGGACAAAATTCTAGAGAGGAGCAAACCGCAGAGATGTGAGCCCCAAAATCTGTGTACAGATTTCCCTCAAATCATCAGTCAATTCTTAAGATGTATCCCTGTAGGGAGAGACTTTAAGAAACTCAGCAGAAGAGCAGCATCTAAAGAGTCAAACAGAGATTTTAGCAGCTGCACAGTGATGGGGAGACAGGGATTAAGAGTTCAAGCCAACAGGGTGAAGGTGTCTTAGTAAACATCCCAGGCTTTTAGTTTTAAGATCTATTGAGGACCATGACCTAGGAATAAGGGTAAAATGGAAATAAATCTGAATTTAAAAGCCTAAAGCCAAGTCTTATAGGATTGGAGTGATCCTCTGGTATTCTATCTGCCTACTACAATAAAAATTTTTTTAAAAACCTTCTTTGGAGAAAGCTGATATCGTCCAGAACCTCCACAGTTTTTCTTCCACACTGTCTGACATTCAATAAGAAATTATTGAGGCACACTTGAAAAAAATAGGACCAAATACTAAAAGCCAGGAGGACCCACAGCTGATTCAGATATCGGAGTTATGTGTCACAGCCTTTACATAATATAATTAAAATGTTCAAGAAAATAGAGGAATGATAAAGAATTTCACCAGAGCCTTGGAATCTATTCAAAGAATGGAAAGGGAGGAGTCAAATGAAAATTCTGCAACTGAAAATATTATAACTAAAATTAAGAATTCAACAGAGGGGTTGTATACCAGCTCAGACACAGCAGAATAGAGTTTCTACTGACTTGGGTGAAAGGTCAGTAAAAAATATGTGGATTAAAGCATGACAAGGAAAAAAGACAAAATATACAGAAAAGAGTATAAGAGACATATGGAAAACTCTAAAAGGTTTAACACACACGTACTTGGGGTTTCAGAAGGAGAAGAGAGAGAGAAAGGGACAGAAACAGTATTTAAAGAAATACTGACTGGGAATTTTCAGACATTGATAAAAAAACCCATCAGATCTCATATTTAAGAAGCTTTATGAACCCCAAGCAGGAGCACACACACACACAGAGTTATATCACACTCAAACTGCTAAAGACCAAAAGAAAGAGAAAAATTTTAAAGCAGCCAGGGGTGGGAGAAGGAGACATACTACCTTCAGAGGAGCAGCAATCAGACTGATGGCTAATTTCTGAACAGAAACAATGGTAACCAGAAATCAAGAGAAAGGCATTTTTTAAATGCTCAAAAAAAAAATTAAAAAGCCAAAATAGAATTCTATACCCAACAAAACTATCCTTTAAAAATGTAAGTGAAATAAAGACGTTTTCACGTTAACAAAAGCTGAGAGAATCTGCCACTAGTAAACATGAACTATAAGAGGTACTAAAGGAATTTTTCACACTAAAGTACAATGACCCCAACTGGAAGTGTCAAACTTCAAGAGGAACTCCTTTCAGAAAGGAGTGACTTTGGCCTACTTCTCAAATAAATTCTCATTCCAATGGAATCATTCAGTGTAAAATATAAGTTCATGTTAAATGAAATCTAGACAAGAAGTGAACTAGGATTTTATAACTTAACAATATGTAGAAGATACTGTCAGTTTAATTTTAACCAAAATAAAGTTTTTAAAAAAAATGAAAGCTGGGTTCTGGGAGTCAGGGATCAAGGACAGCAGCTGGCATGTAGGAGCCAAAGGTTATGGCTGATCTGTCATTGGCAAGTGGGTGTTAGGGGACAAGAAAAGATGTGGAGATGGGGGAGTTAGAAGGCGTGGGCAATAACTATGCTCTAGGGGTTAGAGGTCAAGAGAGTCTGTGGGAGATGTAAGGTCAGGGGTCATGGCTGACAGTTGGGTGGTGGTGGTTGCCTCAAGGGCCGGAGGTCTGAAGTCACGACTCACCTGAGGAAGTTGAAGCATGAGAACGGGGAGGGGTGATGGGGGCGGTGGCGGTTGAGATTCCTGGCCCCCGGCCCCGCCCCTCTCGGGCTGGCCCCGAGCGCGCCGCCTCCGTCACCCCGTCCTTCCCCGTCAGCCCCGCCCAGTCCGGAGCTTCGAACGCGAAGGCAGCTCGGCCGAGGCGACGACCGAGCTAGCGAGTGGCGCAGGGACCCAGCGGGCTGCTGGGGCTTCTGCGGCGCCCGCCTACGCTCCCTCCCCTCGGGTGCTCGGGGCGCCGACTGGCGCCGCCCCCCGGGAAGATGGCGCTGCACTTTCAGGTCAGTGCGCTTTGCGCCGCGGTTTCTCGCTCCGCCGGTAAGCCGCCCCGGGAACCCGGCGGGACGCTGGGGTCTGGAGACTGAGGGCCGAGGCCGGTGGCGGAGGCCGCGGGGTCGCGGGCCGGTGCCTCGGAGCCCCAGCCCCCGTCCCCGGCCAGGGACCCACGCACTGGCTTGGGCTGCACACCCCGGGCCCGGGCCCGAAGAAGTGGCGGCCAGAGCTTGGGGTTGACGGTGGAGGGGCAGGGGCCAGCCTGGAGCTCGCCCCTCGGGGGAGGTACGGATGCTGAGGACCGGCCGCGTGGGAGCCCGCTGTCCCCGGTGCCGCCGCACGGCGCGCGCGGAGGCTTCGGCGGCGCCCTAGCAGGTGGGAGCCCGGCCGGACCAGCCTTCCCGCCGCGTCGTGGGCCGCGGTTCCATCGTCTGCCTCCACACAGTTCGTACGGAGCTCGAGAAGGGGGCCTGGGTCCGCCGATGGAGGGCGCAGCAGTTGGACTTTAATTGGCCAGAGCGGGCAGGGGCTGTGTATATGGGGAGTTGCGAAGGAGGGCTCTGCAGCAGCTTCATTGGAGGAGGAAACGGGGGCAGGACGCGCGCTAGGAGCGCAGAGATGGTCTGGATGGGACGCGGGCTGGAGGAAGGCTCACGTATTCTCGGGCACTCTAGCATATGCATCCAGTTATTCATACAACAAGCATTTATAGAGCCTTCCCCCGCCCCCACCCCCCCCGTGTCTCAAGCACGGTGCAAAGTTCTGGGATAAAGGATTACATCATCTTACCATACTTGCCCTCATGGAATTCACGGATAATTATATAGTACATGTGAAAAATGGTATGATAGAATTAATCACAGGATATCATGGGACATTGAAAAGGGGCAGTCAACCGTGTGTGTGTGTGTTGGGAAGGAGTGAGGCAGAGCTGCTGTGCTTCTCAGGCAAGCTTTTTTGAGCTTCTGTTCATCTACTAATGTATTGTAGTTCCTACTTTGCTAGGCCCTTAAGATATAGCTCTAGCAAAACTTTATGATTTGTACACTCAGGAAACTTGCAGTCTAGTGGATACTGAAAGAATTGTAGGAGTTGGCCAGGCGAAGAGGAAGGGAAGGGTATAGAGGCAAAAGGACAGTGTGAGCCAAGTCAAAGAATTGTGGAAGAACATGGCACATTGCAGGAAGTTCGGTTTGGCTGGAACTTAAGGTTCATAGAAAAGGGAAGGGAGCAGGGAAGCCTGTGGAGGCAGGAGATGACCTTGGAGAGGTAGGCAGTCTCATAATATGCTGACAGTGTATCTAAGTGTCCCAACCCTTTGTAGGTTTCTTTGGATCCCCTGTGACTACAGTGACTCATTACTTAATTATTGATTCTTCCAAAGGGTCTTTTCAATCAGCCACTCTCCTATCAGGTAATTGACAGCTCAGGAGGTAGTAAGCCTGACACATTACCTTTTGACTCCTTGCCATTTGTAAGCGTCTCCAGGCCAAAATAATGTTATTTATTACCACTTTAGTAAATATGCCCTTTGGAAATCTTCACAGGAGGAATTTCACAGGAAGGACTTTGGGATTGTAAATAGGTAAACATGTTCATAACTCAGGTGTAAATCTTGAGGGCAATTAAAAACTGTGGTGGAAGTTTTGGGGACTTGCCTGGCGGTCCAGTGGTTAAGAATCTGCCTACCAATGTAGGGGATGTGGGTTTGATCCCTGGTTAGGGAACGAAGATCCCACATGCAACTAAGCCCATGCACCGCATCAAAGACCCAGCGCAGCCAAAAAAAAAAAAACTATGGTGGAAGTTTGGAACAGTTTCAGACTTGGAAAGATGAAGCATAATAGTAAATTACCCAGTCTGGAAGATTTCTTCATACTTAGGTAGTGGTGGAAAAATTAGCTGCTAATGCCAAAATTACCCAAATTGGTTTCCTAGGAATGTATTTCACAGCAGTTCTGGGAAGCTTAAAAGTGGAATTGAACAAATAAAAGACCTGATGATTTGGGGGGCCAGAATTAAGCTCTGAACCTTCTCAGTTTGAATTGTTTTCAGCATATGGATCATATTGTTACCCAGTTAACTCAAGGAGCCTTTATTGCTGATGATAACTGGTACCTAGCATTTTGAATTTTCTCATGCTTGTTGTAGATGTTCAGCCCCACAGCTAGCTTGAGAGGTGCGCATATACAGTCGGCTTGCTGTATCCCTGAGTTTTGCATCTGTGGATTCAACCAACTGTAGATTGAAAATACTCTCAAAATTCCAGAAAGCTCCAAAAAACTTCCATTTACTGCATACGTGACAACTATTTTTATAGCATTTACATTGAATTTACAATTATTTACATAGCATTTACATTGTATTAGGTATTATAAGTAATCTAGAGATGATTTAAAGTATTTGAGAAGATGTATAGAGGTTATAGGCAAATACTATGCCATTTTATATAAGGTACATGAACATCTTTGGGTTTTGGTATCTGCAGGGTGTCCTGGAGCCAGTCCCCCTACATATGTGCATATATACATTTTATCCCTGAAGACGCTGAGTCTTAGAACAATTGTGACTTGCCCAAGGCTACAGAATTAGAGTAGTCTTAATAACTCATGTTTCCACATTCTTTTCTACCAATATCTTACTGTCATCTACCCAGCAGGGAAGTTAGTGAAAAATTATGCCATTTTGATAAGTAAATAAGTGAATTTATGTAAGGGGAAGTTAGGTCACTGCTTCACAGTCTTTTTCACATCATGGCATACATAAAAAATGGTAATTGTGTGGTTCATTGACATAAACTGCTCATAACCAAAAGCCTGACTGGAGGACAAGGGGATCAATGTCCCTGACATACTATAACCATTCAAGGCACATGCATTCTGGTTAGGAAGCTGTGGGTTAGGGTACTCTGTCCCAAAGGAAGAAATGGATCTGGATTATCTGAGAGGAGACAGTCCAGATTAGAGGGTAGGGGACAGAGTGAGGAAAGGTATTTCTGGGACCAAGTAGGAGGTAGGCACTTAAGATTTAACAGAAGGACCTTGATGAGAATCAAGAGATAACATTAGGAAAAATTTAGGAGATGCAGTTGGTCGATCTTTTTAGCTTTCAGGATTATTCCAGAACCTGGGACTATAGTCATGCTTAATAGCCAGCCAGGCATTCTGATATGATCAGGCATACCTGATATGATCTAGATGTGATTGTGAACTATTATAGTTGAATACGATGGTAACATGATGAGAAAGGGGTTTGGAAAAGATCATCCTGTATGGAGTTGAATGGGAGGAACTATAGACAAAAGACCAATGTGGTGTTTTATAATTAACTAAAGAGATTATTTACAATTTGTGTAGATCTGCTGTGTGCCAGGAGGTGGATTAAGCTTTCTCTCGTCTTTTCTGTCTTAATCTTTACAATTATTTTACATGGAATCTTCACAATTATTTTACATGGTGGATATTACTACCTGCAGTTTCAAAAGTGAGGTTTAGAAAATTTAAATAATTTGCTTGAGGTCACTTAATAAGTAATTGGACAGATTCCAAAGCTTCCACTCTGATTCCCAAAGAAGCCCCTAAAGAAATCCTGGGCACTGTAGGCCACAGTCGGAAAATACTCTTCTATTGATCTACTGTCTATGAATATCATGTAGAGGTGTTGAGTCTGAGTCTTTATTTTAAAAGAATTGGTAGGATTTTGTGATAAATTAGGTAGGTACCTGGAATTAGCCAAACTGCGAGGTTTGAGGGCACAGTTTGCAAGACTGTTCTCACTTCTGACACCACCTGCATATTTGGGGGTTTCCCAGCACCACTCTCAGGTTTGATAGTTTAACAGAAGAACTCACAGAATTCACTGAAAGCTGTCATACTCAGTTTATTATCAGGAAAGTATGCAGATTAAAATTGATTAAAGAAGAGATACATAAGGCAGAATCTGGGAAGGTTCTCAAACAAAGCTTTTGTTGTCCTCAGGACATGTTACTCTCCCAGCATATATGTGTGGCAGTAAGCACCAAGTATTGCAAACCAGGGAGGTGCACCTGAGCTTTGAGTTCTGGAGTTTTTATTGGAGCTTCTTTATGTAGTCATTGATTGACTGGTTGGTTGCCACATGATGGAGCTCAGTCTTTAGGTCAGTATCGATACTGAGCAATCTAAAGTCCCCACCCTAAAACACAGGGTTGGCCTTTGGGATGGCCAGCCACCAATTTACGACTATGGGGGGCTACACACACACACACACACACACACACACACACACACACACACACACACCCCGCCCCCGCCCTGAACAAAAACATTCCTATCTTAGACGTAGATTACCTCCCAGAATCTGAGGGCGAAGACCAGACTTTTTCTTTGGGCAAGGCCAAACTTTTAACTATATAGGAGGGACTAAGGAGAAGGAAAAGTAAAAGATAACATCAAGATTGTAAGTCTAGATTCTGGTCTACACCTCCGAAACCACTGAAAACAAAGGGACAGTTGATGTGAAAATCTGTGGGAAATATGTTCAATTCAGTTCCTGACATTTTGGGGCTGTTTTCAACATCTTTCTTGATTTCCAAGAAGAAGTTTGTAGATAAATATAAAGGTGGTGAATAGACAGTTGAAAGTGTGGACTAGGACATCACCTGCAGGTACATGATGACTAAAGTCAGGGGTGGTAAGATGGCAAGGTGCTGAGGAGACAACATGTGCTTGGGGCCCACAGATTTGTATGTGGCTCAGAATTGACCATTTACTCATATCTTGAGCAACGTGTGTGTGTGTGTGTGTGTGTGTAGATATATATATGTGTGTATATGTATGTATTTGATCTCTCAGCCTCAGTTCTTTTTTTTGTCTGTAAAATGGGTGTGCTAAAAACATGTACTTTACAGGAGTCTACTTGTTAGAATTGGTTTAAAAAATAGAAGATGGAAATACTTTTGTAAACCTTTAAAGCACTAAAACAAATATGATCCAATTCATTGTAGAAGAAGGAGTTCTAAGAGGCCCAGAAATAAGCCCTCAGGTATGCTCGGGAAAAGGTAGTAAAGGGAGGAAAAAACAAAGAGTTTATGGAAAATGAGTAACTTTAAGATAAAGGCACTTTCTATTAATGGTAGTCAAGAAGCTTAATTCCAGAAGGCAGGAAAGATACAGGGAAGAGTAATTGAAAGGAGTTTAAATTTAATTGAGCAGGGATTTTTTTGTGGTTCATCGATTTATTGTTTTATTATTAGGGGACATTTTTCCCTAGGACAAAAAACCTTCATTTTTTCCCAGCTTTCTTGAGGTATAATTGACAAATAATAAACTGCACATACTTAAAATGTCCTTTTGGATGAATTTTGACGTAAGTATGTTAACTGTGAAACCATCTCGGAAATCAAGATAATGACCATATCTATCACCCCCCCCAAAGTTTCCTTATGCTCCTTTGTAATCCCCCCTTGCTGCTTCCCTGTCCTTTTCTCCCACTCTCTCCTCCCTCCCCAGCCTGAAACCGCTGATCTGCTTTCTTTCACTGTAGAACCATACAATATAAACTCTTTTTGTCTTGCTTCTTTTACTAGGCATTTACCTGTCGTTGGATACATGATGGGAATTACTGTATAGAAAGAAGTCACATCACTTACTGGTTAATTGTATGTCAAGTGCAAAGTGCAGAAATGAGTCCAGAATAACTTGGAGGATATTGAGACTGTAGGCAGGATTATGTCATTGTCTCCTAGGCTATGGAAGTTGGGTGCTGTCTGTTTATGTTTGATAGTTTATCGATGGGAGTTAGGTGATATCCAATTCTACTTGTGTTACCTGTTATTTATTTATATGGGCTTCTTATGGTGATATGAAGCCATGTAGAAGCTTTAATAACTCAAACCCGGTTTGTCAACAAGTTGAGAAGGGATCATTTCTCTGAGGCATTCTTATGTTAACCATATTCTCAGACATCAGTTTATAAAACTAAGATGCAGTTTATCAGTTCACTATGAAAAATAGTCTCTCTTTATAGACAGATGTTCTGGAAAATCAAATGCTAATCAGAAGATTGCTTGGTCACTCGTCAGTCATCACAAGTTTAACTACTTGAAATGTTTAGATAATGCTTTTCCACAGGGTAAGGATCTTTATGGATGTATCCTTTTCTCTAAAAAGATTTATCAATAGTATGCCAGGCATTTATTTAACTGTTATCATTACAGTGAAAGAATAACTTAATTTTTTCCACTTTGTTTCAGTCTTTCTTAAGAGAAAGTTCAAACCTTTACCTTTTTATCTTTCACTGCCTTTCGGTGGTTAATAATTTGAAAGGCATTTGGGACATTGTTGTAAACAAATACTTTTTAAATACACTTCAGACTTGTTCTCTGTTGGAGTTCGCTAAATCAGTATAGCAAAAAAGACAAAATTCCAGAACTTTTTCAGAATATTTCCAAATAGATTTACTTAGGTGCCACTGAATTGATTAATATTAATGTTTGTGTTAGTTTCTTGGGGCTGTTGTGACAAATTACCACAAACTGGGTGGGTTAAAACAACGAAAATTTATTCTTTTTTTTTTTTAGAAGCTATTTTAGCTTTATATTTTTATTTTATTTTATTTATTTATTTTCTTTATTTTTGGGGGCTGCGTCGGGCCTTAGTTGCAGCATGCGGGATCTCATTGCAGCGTGCAGGCTTCTCTCTAGTTGTGGCCTGCAGGTTTTCTCTCTCTAGTTGTGGTGTGCAGGCTCCAGGGTGCGTGGGCTCTGTAGTTGTGGTTCTTGGGCTTAGTTGACCCGCAGCCTGTGGGACCTTAGTTCCCCGACGAGGGATCAAACCCGCGTCCCCTCCATTGGTAGGTGGATTCTTTACTACTGGACCACCAGGGAGGTCCCAGAAATTTTATTCTTTTATACTTAACAGAGGCCGGAGTCTGAAATTAATGTGCTGACAGGGTTGGTCTCTTCCTAGAGGGCTTGAGGGAGAAACTGTTCTGTGCTTTGTCCCTAGTTTCTGATAGCTGCTTGCAGTCCATGGTCCATTGGCTTGTAGATGCATCACCCCAGTCTTTGCCTCCTTTTTATGACTTTTTCTCTTGTTTCTGCATCTCAAATGTCCCTCTCTCTTGTGAATCATTGGATTTAGGGCCTGCCCTAAATCCAGGATGATCTCATCCCTAGATCAGGATTTGCAAAGACCCTATTTCAAAATAATTCGAAGGGACTGGTGGTTAGGACTTGGATATATCTTTTAGGAGGATACAATTCCACCTATTACAATATTCTTATTAGGTGATACTAATAATAAACAGCTAACGTTTGTAGTGTGTAATGTGTGCCAGAAGTTATGTGGCCCTAACTCATTTAATCCTCGCAGCCGACCTTTTGTTTTTCAGCAGTTAGGTTTTCTCAGTATTTCTGGCTTCGTTCTTTTTTATACTCAAAAAGTCTACTTCTTCAGAGACTCGTAGACCTAGATGAATGCATGACAGCAGGATCAGTTTATCTTTAAATTATTCTGGGTATTATCAGCTCTAAAATTTAGCCCTTCAGATTTATTAGATGAAGGAAAAGGTTTCTGAGGTTGATCATGAGTCACGAGAGGGAAAAAGGTAGCTCTTTTCATTTTTGTGTTTCTTACCCTTGGAGGAAATATGGGAATTCATATGTATTCATGAACCATAAATTTTCTATGCATTTTAATATGATGAACAGTATGTAGTAGCACTCTGAGGGCTTCTTGGGCCAATCTAGGTAGAGGAAATGTTTAAAGTGTGGTTCATTTTTGCCGTCCTTTATCCTAATTTATCCTTTTGAAACCTTTCTTTTGTACTTTTATTTTCACTCTAGCAAAAAATTCCCTAGTCTGAGATGTTGGGCTCTGAGCTGGATAGAGAAGTGGAAAATGCCATTAAGAAACTAAGGAGAGAGAAGTAAAAAGAATAATGGGAGCTAGAGGAGGTTTCATTTCAGTGTTTCTTATGTATTCCTGTTAGACAAAGGTACATGCATTTGACGGAATGTTTAGATTAGTGTAGCTGTAAGGCTGCCACATAAAAATTCAGGTCAGAAAGGATAAAAAATAGTATTTCTTTATGAATATCCCATTACCTTCATACGCCCACCTGATGTTGAAATCTGTGCCAGTTTTTTTTTGTCCTCCAAAGAATAATTCTCTAAGTTCAAACTGAAGTAGTTTTAGTAAGACACCTTTAACAAAAATTCTCTAAAGCTGAGAGGAATACTGAACTCATTTAGAATTTTTTCTTTCAGATTTTATCCACGTGTCCTATATCTTCAGATTAGATTATAAACAGAATGATTTATTTATTTTTATTTTTTAAATTGGCTTGTTTGTCCTCCCTATATATTTTTAATACAATTTTAAAGATTACCCTTCACTTATAGTTATTATAAAATATTGACTATATTCCCTGTGTTGTACAACTTATCATTGTAGCCTATCTTACACCCAGTAATTTGTACCTCCCACTCCCCCACCCCTATATTACCTCTCACAGGTAACCACTGGTTTGTTCTCTGTTTCTGTGAGTCTGTTTCTTTTTTGTTATATTCACTAGTATGTTGTAATTTTTAGATTCCACGTATAAGTGATATCATACAGTATTTGTCTTTCTCTGTATGACTTATTTCACTTAGCGTAATGCCCTCCAAGTCCATCCATATTACTGCAAGTGGCAAAATTTCATTCTTTTTTATGGTTGAGGGATATTCCATTGTATATATATATACACCACATCTTCTTGATCCATTCATCTGTTGATGGACATTTAGGTTTCTTCCATATCTTGGCAATTGTAAATAATGCTGCTGTGAACGTTGGGGCACATGTATCTTTTTGAATTAGTGTTTTTGGTGTGTTTTTTTTTTTTTGGATATATACCCAGGAGTGGAATTGCTGGGTCATATGGTAGTTCTTTCAGTTTTTTGAGGAACCTCCATATTGTTTTCCACAGCGGCTGCACCACTTTACATTCCCACCAACAGTGTATGAGAGTTCCCTTTTCTCCACATCCTTGCCAACATTTGTTATTTGTGTTCTTTCTGATGATAGCCAGAATGAATTATTCTTTATGTCTGTAAAATAGGAGCCTACAAGATGATAGCTAGTTATTACACTGCTGTAAGTAACATGGGGCCAAGTCGTAGTTCCTGAGAATCATGCCGTGGTTTACCTGCAGCACTATGAGTCATTAGTTCTGAAGACCCACATCAGCGTATATTTGTATCTTTTCTTTTATATAGATGGAACCATTGAAGTTCTTATAATCTGAAAAAGAATGTAAATTGGCATAATGTCTGCAACTTGCACATGATAATTCCCCTTACCCATCTCTTTAGCTTCTTTTGGCATCTCCTCCTGGCTGGCTGTCTACCAGTCATACTGACCTTTTAATGCCTTGAAACGATTAAGCTCTATTCTGGCCTCTGGTAAATGCTGTGTCTTTGCCTGAACTGCTGTCTAGTCTTTTTCATATGGCTTACCCTTTCAGGTCAGCATAAATGTTACTATATACTTTAGGCCAGCATTTTTAAACCCCTTGGATTAGACAGGTCCTCCTCTTTCTGTACTCTTACTTTTCCATCACAGAACTATCAATTTAAATAATTTAGAGGTAGGCGGTTTGCCTTATTTTTGTTCACCACTGTGACCCCTAGTAAGTAGTTGTAGTTCAATAAGCATTTATTGATTTGACAAATACACACATGGTATTTGCATTCCTTGTTTCCTATGATTAATATATTTACCTTATTTTTTTTCACTCAAGTAAAATGTTAAATTTTTTTTTTTTTTCCTTCTTAAGAGTTTGGCTGAATTGGAAGTATTATGTACTCATCTCTACATAGGGACTGATCTTACACAAAGAATAGAGGCTGAGAAAGCACTCCTGGAACTTATTGACAGCCCAGAATGTCTCAGCAAGTGTCAACTTTTATTAGAACAAGGAACAGTAAGTATTTGATAACAGCAATTAACAATGAAAGATCGGTAGGTATATGTCATTGTTAATGAATGCATGTAGGTTAGCAATGTAGGTTAACTGATAGGTATTACCATATGTCTTTTTACTGTAGTTTATTTCACTGTTGAAGAATTGGAAAGCCTGGAAAGAAAACTTAGGGAAGAGCCCAGGAGGTGGAAATAGGCATGAATCAAAATACATTCTTGATTCCTCTTGGCCCCTTTTTATGTCTTCTACCAGTGGCAAAAGTTACATTTTTAGAAAGTTGGAATTAAAAATCTAGGTGGGAGAGGCAGATTGTAATTAACTTTGAAATGTGAAGGAATGATTCAGAGGAATGCTGATTACTTCTTGCCTGCCTCTCTCCTAGAGATTCATAGCCATTCATTCAACATCATTTAGCAAGTATTTAAATGTAAAACCAGGCACTGTACTACCTACCTGCTTTATTTACAAGCATTAAAGTAACTCATAGTTTAGTTGGGAAGGCATAGATGTATCACTGTAAATAAAGAGCTATGGAATGATATGGTAAGCACTACAATAGGAGACTGTAGGATCTATAGAGCAGAGGTTAGCAAACTTTTTCTGTAAAGGGCCAGATTGTAAATATTTTAGACTTTGTGGGCCAAGAGGCAAAATCAAGGGTGTCTTATAAATATGCCTATTAGAAGAGAGAAAACAAATTTCCACAAAGTTTTATTTATGAATTTTAAAATACAATAATTGAGTACAGTTTTTTTGTAGTATAAGTCTACTGATGAAAAGAATGGAATTATTCTTTTGGGGATGACATTTTGCTTAACTGGGGTTCAGAGTTAGTATTTCCTATCATTAGCATTGATTACAAATGTTCATATGTTAATACTGACCTGTAATGAGATTTTACAAATTTCATCTTTGGAAATGTCTCTTCACACAGATAGGTACTACCAAATATTGATATCAGCTGATAAGCATATGATTTTAATTAAGCATATTCATCACTTAGAAGGCATGTATAGTGTTTTATTAAAACTTCTCTTGATATTTGTCTTCTAGGATGTCATTACATTCTAGATTAATCACTTCCAATTGAAGGTTAGGTGGAGGTTCCTCAGTTGCTCAGTTAAATGGATTTTGAAATATGGAAATTTCCTTTGCATTTGCAACAAGGTCTGAAAAAAAGTGCTGCTGGAACATAGTTTGAGCTCAGAAAATATACTTAGCAATAGAGATCTTGCCACTTGTTTTAATATTTGATGTGTGGAAAGTATATAAAGCAGCTTGATATTACTTGTGATTCAATCAATGTTAGTTGTGACTAGAGTAACTTTATTGCGTTATAAGTTTCACATTAGTACTAAGCACTGTTTGCCTTTTAGACAATTTTGTAACTTTAGGTTGAATTCATTAAGAGACTATCAAGTTTGAAGCAAAAACTAACTTCAAAAGCTATTTAATGTTCAACAATAGTGGATAAAATTGGTTCTTCTCATTCAGAAAAATTTCAGTCTCAGTCCTGAGCAAGAAAAAATTGCAGTAAAACTTTACCACTGCCAAGCTATAGAACTACTGCGCAGTAGGGCAAGTCAGAATTTTCAGCTTCTATTTCTGACAGAAATTTCCAGAACTGAAGATGAATTCATGAAAGTGAATTGAAGTCCACTGTTTTTTTGTTTTGTTTTGTTTTTAGATTTTTTTTTTTGATGTGGACCATTTTTAAAGTCTTTATTGAATTTGTTACAATATGGTTTCTGTTTTATGTTCTGGTTTTTTGGCCGCAAGGCATGTGGGATCTTAGCTCCCCCACCAGGGATCAAACCCGCACCCCCTGCATTGGAAGGCGAAGTCTTTTTTTTTTTTTAAATTAATTAATTAATTTAGTTTTGGCTGCATTGGGTCTTCGTTGCTGCGCACAGGCTTTCTCTAGTTGCGGCGAGTGGGGGCTATTCTTCATTGCAGTGTGCGGACTTCTCATTGCGGTGGCTTCTCTTCTTGCAGAGCATGGGCTCTAGGTGCGTGGGCTTCAGTAGTTGTGGCACGTGGGCTCAGTAGTTGTGGATTGCGGGCTCTAGAGCACAGGTTCAATAGTTGTGGTGCACGGGCTTAGTTGCTCCGTGGCATGTGGGATCTTCCTGGACCAGGGCTTGAACCCTGTCCCCTGCGTTGGCAGGTGGATTCATAACCACTGCACCACCAGGGAAGTCCCTGGAAGGCGAAGTCTTAAGCACTGGACTGCCAGGAAAGTCCCTGAAGTCCACTGTTAACACTACTGATTCATTAACACACGATAGATTCAGATATTTACTACAAAGTACCTACTGATGAATAATAAAATGAATACCACAGGCTTTGGTCTCTTACATTTTTACAAGCTTTGTAAATTTGTCCACTTAAGTCTTTTCTTTTTACCACCACTTGTGGCACATTTTAGCAACTACTTCAGGTTGTACAGAATTAGCATTTTCTCAGCTTTTTTCAAGATATTCTGACCAGTAATTGCATGCAGACTCTTCATAGAGATTAATTCTTTAGTCACTTCAAACTAGCATTGACTTCTGGAATAAACAGATAATGTCGGTAACAGTATGAGCAGTGCATGTTGGTAGCATGGGTAACTCATCAAGAACTAGGGAGAACCTCCAAATCATTCGCCTGGTTTGAAATTGAATTTTGATGTTGCTCTAATAGTATCTTCAACTATCTGGGCCTTCTTCTCACTGAAAGTCTAGTAGTCTGAAGTTTATGTTCTCTGCATGTGTAACTTTGGCTACTGCAATAAAATAATGGTGATTTAATTAACTCTTTTGGTAAGTGGCTTTCCTTACTTGGCTAACAAATGAGCCATTTCAAAACCTAACTTTGGTTGTAGCCTCACTTTATTTTTTTGTGGAGAAATTTCACTGTTATAGATATTCTGTCTTAAATTTTCTCCTTTTTTCTGACTATTGATTACCTGTGAGTTAGGAACACTGACATGAGTGCTTGGTATGATATGGTCAACATATGTTGTATTCTTTTAGGACAGCTATAGTACAATTGCATAAAAAGCACATTGCTTTGCTATCTGATTCAGTAACAAAATGATCCACATCCCACTGTGCCTTAAGAGTTAGACATTTGAAGTGCCTTTCTATCTTTTCTTGTTTTGACATAACAGATATGCACTGGTAATAATAAAAGGTGCGTGTCATGTCATGGTGATACTCATGGCACTCTGTGCTGTGAAGTTAATAAGTACATCACTGCGGTTTATAGTGCACTGAGCAGCGGTAGGAGGCAGTGAGTGCCATATACTGTTTTAACTATTTGTCTCTGCTGTCATAGCCTGAAAGCAGACTATATGCGTGTGGCTGTGTTCTAATAAGCTTTATTCATGGACACTGAAATTTGGATTTCATGTACTTTTCACATGTCACAAAATATTATTATTTTTTTCCCAACTGTTTAAAATAGTAAAATCCATACATAGCTCATGGGCCTTGCAAAAACAGGCGGGATTTGGTCCACAGGCCTTAGTTTGCTGACCTCTGGTCTAGAGAAAAAAAAAATAGGGCTATCTTTACAAGAGATTGCTAGGGGTAGAGTGAATAACTGAATCAGGTTTTGAAGGGTTGAGTATGCTATTAAGTTAAGACAGTTGGTGGTCAGAGTGAATACAACCAGCATGGATCTGAAGGAGGGGGGAGGTCAGGGTGGGAAAGGCATTGAAAGGAACTGAAAGAGGGCTGTTTTGGTCAGAGGATAGCAAAGAGTGGAACCAGATGAGTTTGAAGAGATAATCAGAGGGCAGAACATGCAGGACTATGTAGACATGGTAAGTGTATTTTATTTGAACTTGCTCATAATCATTTTTTTCCTCTTGCGGAGGATGGGCTCTAGGTGCACGGGGCTTCAGTAGCCCAACAACTGCTTGCCATTTGAAGACTACCTATACCTTCCTCAACTACCCCACCCTTATGAGGGATTTTGTGTGTGTGTGTGTGTGTGTGTGTGTGTGTGTGTGTATTTTATCCCTTGTAAATCTGCCAGTTTGGAAAACCAGAAGAATTCCCAATATTGCTTAGGAAAAGTTCCTATCATAGTATTTTTTTTTGGCTGCATTGGGTCTTCGTTGTTGCGCGCGGGCTTTCTCTAGTTGCAGCGAGCTGGGTGGCTTCTCATGTTGCGGAGCTTGGGCTCTAGGTGCGCAGGCTTCAGTAGTTGTGGCGCATGGACTTAGTTGCGCTGTGGCATGTGGGATCTTCCCATAGCAGGGATCGAACCCATGTCACCTGCATTAGCAGGCAGATTCTTAACCACTCTTCCACCAGGGAAGTTCCCTTATCATAGTATTTTGATTAATCTATTAAAATTTATATTTCTTTACAGACATCCTATGCTCAACTCCTTGCAGCAACATGTCTTTCAAAACTTATTAGCCGAGTCAGTCCTTTGCCGATTGAACAAAGAATAGATATCAGTAAGTGGTTTATTATGCTTTTTATCAAATTGCACTTTAAAAATAATTTTTGCTTTTAAATATGCTAAACTGTTAACAGGCTTGCAAGTTATTTTATTGTCATTTTTAAAGATGAGTAGTCAAGTCTCCTTTACACATGTAGTGATAAACAACGTGTTATACAAAAATGTGTTGTCAGAAAAGCATTTGTTTAATTTGATAATAAATAATAACTAGCATTTTATTGTCTATACTATTTACTAAGATTTGCACTATCTCATTTTATCTACCAAACTTCTGAGATGGGCACTATTGTTATCCTCATTTTATAAATGAGGAAATTAGATTTGATAGGCTCTATAATGTGCCCAAGATCATCACACATCTAGCAAGAAGTAGAGCTGTGATTCAAACTTACACAATTTTTGTGGAGTCCATGCTCTTAGCGATTATCTTAACATCATATACAACTAAATGATGGGAAAGAAGTGTGCTCTCCAGCATTTCTCAGGATCCTATATCAAAATCATATGGGATGCATATAAAATCAAAAGCAGATTCCTACTTATTAGGAAAATAATGTGTATATGGATGAACAGTGCTTGGAACTTAGTGTAGTTGGAAAATTGATTCTATAAAGTACCAATATGCTTTCAGAAGTAATGTATTTTCATATTTTAAGTGTGTGAATTTGTTTTTCATATGGACAAAACTCTGGTAGTTGAGGTATGGGAATTTTTTTATTATCTTTGTTCATAATAGACTGTTGACTCATTTCTGCTCTCCAGCCTCAAGGTTTACATGATTCATATTTGTGTAACAGAAAAGTTAAAGTGTAGTATTATATATGATGGTTCTTTAAGCTCAGTTTTTGAATGGTCAAATCCCACAATGATTTGTCATTTGCCTCATATGTTTGACTGATATTTCTCTTAAGTACCTAATAACCGAGGGGAACTCCTTCAACTTGATAAAGAACATCTACCAAAAAAAAAACATACCAGGCTGAAGAAAACCTAGAGAATTTATCCATGTTCTCATGGACCTGTGTGCTTAAGAAAGCAAAAGAGAAATTTACAGTTTAAAAAATAAGGGTTCAAACATTAAAAACCTGTCATAAAACATTGTGATTTTGTTTGTTTGACTTTTATACACATAAACACACATATTTTAGGTAGACTTTATTTTTTTAGAGCACCTTTAGGTTCACAGCAAAATTGAGCAAAAAGTACAGAGAATTCCCATATACCCCCTGGCCCCGCACATGAATAGCCTTCCCCAGTATTAGCATACTGCACCAGAGTGGGTACATTTGTAACAGTTGATTAACCTACATTGACACATCATCATCACCCAAAGTCCATAGTTTATATTAGAGTTCACTCTTGGTGTTGTGCATTCCGTGGGTTTGGATAAATGTATAAATGACACATATCCCCCGTTATAGTATTATACAGAATAGTTTCACTGCCCTAAAAAGCCATTGTGTTCCAACTATGCATCCCTCCCTCCCCTCTAACTCCTGGCGACCACTGATCTTTTTTACTGTTTCCATAGTTTTGCCTTTTCCAGAATGCATGCATGCAATGTTGAAATTATACAGTGTGTAGCCTTTTCAGATTGGCTTCTTTTACTTAGTAATATGCATTTAAGGTTCTCCATGTTTTATCATGGCTTGATAGATCATTTCTTTCTTTCTTTTTTTTTAAAAATTTATTTATTTTATTTATTTTATTTTTGGCTGCACTGGGTCTTTGTTCCTGCACCCGGGCTTTTCTCTACTTTGCGGTGAGCGGCGGCTACTCTTTGCTGCAGTGCACAGGCTTCTCATCGCGGTGGCTCCTCTTATGGCGGAGCACAGGCTCAGTAGTTGTGGCCCACAGACTTAGTTGTTCGCAGCATGTGGGATCTTCCCGGGCTAGGGCTCGAACCAGTGTCCCCTGCATTGGCAGGCAGATTCTTAACCACTGCGCCACCAGGGAAGCCCGATCATTTCTTTTTAATGCTGACTGACGTGCCATTGTCTGGATGTACCACAGTTTATCTGTTCACCTTTTGAAGTACACCTTCATTCCTTCCAAGTTTTGGCAATTACGAATAAAGCTGCTATAAAGCAGTTTTTTTGTGTGGACATAAGTTCTCACCTCATTTGGGCAAATACCAAGGAGAGTGATTGCTGGATTGTATGGTAAGAGTATGTTTAGATTTGTACGAAATCACCAAACTGCCTTCCAAAGGGGCTGTACCAGTTTTGCATTCCCATCAGCAATGAATGCGAATTCCTGTTCTTCCACATCCTTGCTAGCATTTGGTGTTTTCAGTGTTTTGGATTTTGACCATTCTTATAGGTGTGTAGTAGAATCCTACCGTTTTTTAATTTACAGTTTCCTAATGACATATGATGTTGAACATCTTTTCATATGCTTATTTGTTGTCTGTATATTTTCTCTAATGAGGTGACTGTTTAGGTCTTTTGCTTATTTTTAAATCAGGTTGTTGTTTTCTTATTCTCTGTATATTTTAGTAAATGGTCCTTTATCAGATAGGTCTTTTGCAAAGATTTTCTCCCAGTTTGTGGCTTGTCTTCTCATTCTCTTGGGCAGAAGCTTTTAATTGTAATGAAGTCCACCTTATCAAGTATTTCTTTCATGGATTGTGCCTTTGTTGTTGTTTGTAAAAAATCATCACCAAACCCAAGATCATCTAGATTTTATTCCTGTTATCTTTTAGGAGTTTTTATAGTTTTGCATTTTACATTTAGAGCTGTGATCATTTTGAATTAATTTTTGTGAAGTGTGTAAGTTCTGTGTTTAGATTCATTTTTTTGCATGTGGAGGTCCAGTTCTGCCACCATTTGTTGAAAAGACTATCTTTACTCCGTTTTATTAGCTTTGCTCCTTTTTCAAAGATCAGTTGACTGTATTTATGGGAGTCTCTTTCTGGGTTCTCTATTCTGTTCCATTGATCTATTTGTCCTTCACCAGTACCACACTGTCTTGATTATTATAGTTTTATAAAAATTAAAGTTAGGTAGTGTCAGACCTCCAACTTTGTCCTTCGCCTTTAGTATTGTGTAGGCTATTCTGGGTCTTTTGCCTCTCTATATAAACTTTAGAATCAATTTGTCAATATCCAAAAAAAAATAACTTTCTGGGATTTTGATTGGGATTGCATTGAATCTATAGATCAGTTCTGGAAGAACTGACATCTCGACAACATTGAGTCTTCCTGTCCACGAACATGGAATATCTCTCCATTTATTAATTTCTTTGATTTTATTCATCAGCTGTGGTTTTTTGTAGATGTTCTTTATGAAGTTGAGGAAGTTCCCCTCTGTTCCTGGTTTGTTGAGAGTTTTTATCATGAATGGCAGTTGGAATTTTTGAAATCCTTTTTTTGGATCTATTATGATCATGTGATTTTTCTTCTTTAGCCTATTGATGTGATGGGCTGCATTAATTGATTTTAAAATGTTGAACAATGCTTGCATACCTGGGATAAATGCCACTTGGTTGTGGTATAGAACTCTTTTTATACATTGTTGGATTTGCTTTGCTAATAATTTGTTGAGGATTTTTGTTTCTATATTGATGAGAGATATTGGCTCAACTACAAGTTTTCTTGTAATGTTTTTGTCTGGTTTTGGTGTTAAGGTAATGCCAACCTCATAGAATGAGTTAGGAGGAATTCCCTCTCCTTCTTTTTCCTGGAAGAGATTGTAGAGAATTGGTAGAATTTCTTTCTTAAATGTTTGGTAGAATTCATCAGTGAACCCATCTGGGCCTGGTGCTTGCTGTTTTGGAAGGTTATTAATTATTGACTCAGTTAATTTAATAGATATGGGCCTATTCAGATTGTCTCTTGCACTTATCTTTTTTAAATGGATACTTAAAAAAAAAAAAAAAGGTACACTCATTAAAGGAAATTCGGAAAAAAGAGAAAAGTAGAAACCTACCGCACAATTTCAAGCAACAAATGATGTGTTTCCTTTATGAGTTTCTTGGGTTTGAGTTACTACTCTTGCTTCTGCAAGTAGATTAGAATGTTATGAAATGTCTGACATGTGTCAATAGAATAATTGGTATGTCAGTTAAAATGGAAAATGTGAAGATTGCCTCAAAGTCACATTGCCTTTATTACATCAACTCTAAAATTCTCAGTCTTTCATGATACGGTCCCAGACTACATATTTCATTATTTCCCAACATTAACTCTGTTGCCTGTTCTCTGTGTCCAGCACACTGTTTTCTACCTATATTAGTATAATTAACGATGGCTTACCATCGCTCATCAATTAAATACCATTTCCTCAGCCTGGTGTTCAAGTCCTTTCATGAGCTTGTAATTGATGGATCGTCCCGTCCTTGTAGCCTTGTATCTCGTTGGTACTAGCCTATTTGTACCAGAAGGTATTTTCCTCATGCCATGTTATTTCTGCCTTGGTGCCTTTTCTTATGTTGTTTCTCTAGCCTGGAATGCTGTCCTTTTAATCTTCTATTCAAATAAAAGTGTAGCTTAAGTTTAATTACCTATATAAATCAGTCAATTCTCCTTCCCTTTCTCTGTCCTTCACTCCATCCCTCCCTCCCTCTTTCCTTCCTTGCTGACTCCCCTCTTCAAACAGTTTTATTGAGGTATAATTTATATACCATAAAGTTAACTTGTTTTAAGTGTACAATTTTTGATTTTTAGTAAATTTACAGAGTTGTGTGAACATTCCCATCATCCCTTCCAAACTCCCCATGCTCATTTACAGTTAGTCCTGCTCCCATACCACCAACCTCTAAGATGTTTTCTGCCTGTGTAGATCGACCTTCTGAGGATATTTCATATAAATAAAGTCATATCATGTGTAGTTTTTTTACATCTAACTTCTTTCACTTCGAAAAATGTTGTTGAGGTTCATCCATGTTGTAGCATGTGTATTTCATTTTTTTATTATAGAATAATATTCCCTTGTATAGATGTGTGACATTTTGTTATCCATTCACCACCTGATGAACATGTGGGTTGTTTTTGCTTTTTGGCCACGGTGAATAATGCTACCACGAACATTGACATACAAGTCTTTGTGTGGATATACGTTTTCATTTCTCTTGAGTAGATACCTAGGAGTGAAATTGCTGGGTCATAGGTAAGTTTATGCTTAACTTTAAAAAAAGCTGTGCAACTATGTTTCAAAGTGCCTGTACCATTTTGCGTTCTCAGCAGCAATGTGTGAACATTGCAGTTTCTCCACATCTTCACCTCATAAGTCTTACATTGATCTTCTTGTGGTAGTTTCTTTTTGTCTGTCTCTCCAAATATTTTATAAGCTAGCTCTCAAGGCATAGATTATAGCTCAAATTTTTGTGTTCACAGCATTTGGAATTGTTTCCATCAAAGCATTCTTAGTTAAATGTTGAGGTATTTACCTTCTCTTCATTTTTTTCCTGAATAACATGCTAGTCTTTGGGACCCAAGTAGAGATTGAGTCTTTCCCCTTTCTTTTATATTCTTTTTGTATGTTTTCTGATAGACTTTGCGGCATATTTTTTTACTTGACTTCAATTAATCAGTCAAAAATATTTCATATTAAATTTCTATAATGTGTAATACCTAAAGTTTCAGTCTAATGATAGTAAACTCCAAAAGACTATCTACCAGTTTTGACTTAGTAGAGTTTTTGAATTACTGATTATTACTAAAATATATGGTTTGACCAGTATTTGAAAGCAGGAAACAAACAAACTCAAACCAAAACAACCTGACTCAGAGTCCCAATTTGGCCACTGTGACAAGTTGTTTCACCTCTTTGACCTTCATATTTTTTTGCCTAGGAAACAGAATTATAGTAATATAATAGCAATATCTTCACATTGCTGTGAGAGCTACATAAAGCTTTTTTTCTGGGAAGCACTTGTAATTTCTAACTTGTTTCATAAATGCTAAGTATTGTTGTTATCATATAGGCATTTGACACTCAAAGAGCCTCTAGTGCATAGCTTTCCAAGTTTCTGTTAACTTTTGTTGGGGAATTTTTCCAGCTGTTTATTTCATTCTCCCATGTGTCTTTCTGAACATTTCATTTTCTTCTTGGTATATGGCTTTTCCCTATTATCTTGGGCTGGTGATGATTAGATTGCGGTTGTTTTACTTGATTGTTATCATTGGCTCTTGCTTATTAAACTGGAACACTATTATAGGTCATGTAATAAGCATAACGTGAGAATATTTTATGTAAAACGTTCAACTAAGGTAACAGAAATACAGTCTATTAAATTTTTTTGCCTTAGATAATAAACTTATTAGCTAGTATCTTTGTTCAAGGAGTTTGGGAAGGTGTGCTTCAGGTACCTAGCTTAAATGTGAAACTTGGTTTGTCTCCTGTTTTGTTGTTTTATTATTTTTGAGATTACCCTCCCAGTGGTTACCACTACCTACATATAGATTTCTCACATTCCCTCCGGGTTAAAATTTTTCAAGATACTAAAAATAAAAATAATAGAAGTAAATCAGATTTTCTTTTATGTTCAGGAGGCAGTGTCATTTTCATAAGTTGTGTTATTGAAATAAAAGATTACATGTAATGAAGCTTAAGAGAACCATATTACTTTAATCCATAGCAGAAACCTCTTTCAGATTTATCTTAATGCTAGGAAAATCTGTGCTTTTTAATAGTATTTTTATAACTGTATTTTTAATGTTAATAAAAATTAAGGTTGAAATGTGCTAGTCGTGAGAACTTTTCTTTTTTATATCAAGGTTCTCATTACAGTTGTCAAGAACAGCTGTTGAAAGTGTTCTTGGATTTTGGGGTTGTTTCCATTAAAGCTATTTTTAGTTAAATAATGAAGTATTAATATTTACTTTTTCTTCACTCTTTTCCCAAATGGTATGCTGGCCTTCGGGGCCAAAGTAGAAATGGAATCTTCTCCCTTTAAAAAATTTTTTTCTTCTGTTTTTCTGATAGACTTTTGTGGCCCATTTGTAACCTCAATCACTCCTCCATTAGGAAGCTCATAGCTGAATTTGCTACCCACTTTTAATGATTTGGGCATATTAACTTTATTCCAGGCTTTACTCTTCTGTTTGTACTTTCTTTAACTTATGTACTTATTTTATCACATTATATTATTTGTATTTTTTTCTGCCACTTAAACAGCCAGATATCGCTTCTCGGCCTTTTGGCTAAGATCATGTGTAAACAGCCAGATAGTGTGTAGTCAGTTTTGCTATAACATGACATATGTATTCCTAAAAGTGACTATGCTGTGCAGTGATATGTAGTAAAACCACAGGGCTTATTAGAGAAATGGGATTATGGAAATAAAATTGAAACATTTTGTCAATGACACATTAAAAAAAGATAGAAATCTAATAAAAGACATAGTAGAGTTTTACACATGTTAAATGGTTAAGAAATACTAAATAGTAGAATAAATACAGCATTTTATCTTGAAGAAGACCTGAAGTTTGTGGAAGGGGGCCCACTTCAACAAATAACTCATTGAAGTGTTGAAATTTGTGAGTTACTATGAAGGTAGAAGGAAGGTGATCTGAAATAGGATGGAAATTGTAACACCAAAAGGGATGAGTCTGATAACACATGAGATGAACTGAGATAGCTAGTAGATACATGCATTTTGAGTATGGCTTGGTTCGTTTGGCTTGGTTGCCATTTTCCTTATTCACCTAGTGTTTCTTTCTAAATGAAATTATGCAGAAATGAAAGTGACATTCGCATTATACTCATATTATCCCCTAATATATCAATTGAATTGGAACAAATTTGCTTTTTCCAAATAACCCTTATAGGAGAACTGACTATATAAATAAGTACGTATCTTGGAGAAAGGGATTAACTTTTTGTCAAAGAATGTGTTGTCATCACTACCTGTTTTTACATTTTTCGCATTAAGTTACTGAATAGTCCAAATGATCACAATATTTTTTTACAGGAAACTACATTCTTAATTATGTGGCATCACAACCCAAGCTGGCTCCCTTTGTCATCCAAGCTCTAATTCAAGTCATTGCTAAAATTACTAAATTGGGGTGGTTTGAGATTCAGAAAGACCAGTTTGTCTTCAGAGAAATTATTGCTGATGTGAAGAAGTTTCTTCAGGTAAGAAGGCATTATTACATTATAAGAACATCAGTAGTTGTTTTTTTGGTTTAGAAAACTGCTTTTCTTAAAGTTATATGGTTTGTTTTGTGGCTACCAGAACCATATTAATTATGGTTTATTATTTATCCTCTGGAGCCTGTATTTTTTATTGCCAGGAAAAGAGGATCATGTCATATAACTTCCAAACCAGAAGAATGCAAATTATAATGTTTTATAATTTCAAAAATATATGTTGTCATTTGTAACCACGTGTGTCTTTGTATTGCATATATGCAAAACATGTATATAATGTTTTTCATGTATTATCTAATTTAATGCTAATTACATCTCTGTGAAGGGAATTACGTTTTGTAAATGAGAAGACTGAGGCTTAGAAAAGTTAGGTAATTTGTATAGGATTGCATAGTGATCTAGCAAAGCATAGCGCTTGTACTTCAACAGGTTTTCTAACTTAAGATATATATATTTAAAAATTTTTTTACATTATACCACATTGAGTCATACTAAATTCTCAAGAATGTTTTTAACCTAAATGATTAAAGTTATAACATACTCACATTTAACTTACACAAATTCAGGTATTTGGACTGAAAAGAAAAAAAAAGAAAGAAAGAAAAGAAAAAAGAAAAGCAAGAGGACACTAATTTAAACTGTGCCAGTGATTCCACTTGCCATTCCACATAGTATTTTATGTTGCGGGGTGTGATATGGGAAACTCAAATCTGCTCTTTTCTGTTCCTGTATGCCTCTTAGGATGACCATCATGCCCTGCTCAGTGTGATTCAGATATTTAAAGATACATACTTTTTCATGCAAATGTTATCCCTAATCGCAAGAAAAGTACCTTAGTTGGTGCTCTGCTGAAGAGGCAGTGATCTGTTACAGTTCTCAAGGAAAAACTAGCAGTTTGGATTAATAGATGTTCAGTGTTGGTTTATTGGCAATTAGGGGGCCTTTTGGACTTTCTGAGATGTTATTGCTTATACAGTAACTGTCAGATTTAATCCCTATGTAAGATGTAACGCCATCATACATTGTAATGCTAGAAACCTCAGAATATGAAACACTAGACTATTCTGCTTCTCTTTTATTCGTATTGTTAAAATCCTGGTTAACAAATATTTGATTATCTAAAATATCACAAGAATAAGTGTATTTTTAGCCCTGAGGAGATCTGCTGTGGGACAGAGGGATAGTTTATTCAGTGACACATGAGTTTCTCACTTTATAGTTGTGCATATAGTTTTGACTAACACAATAGCACCCCTCTCTTGTCCTTTACTAAGATTGTACACAGCTCATCAAGAATCCACACACACACTCACTGTAAACAAGAATAGACTTCAGAGTTCTTTTAAAATAAAATCAAGGTTGAAAACTGAATGAAATGAAATCATTCTTGTTGGCTAACATTTCTCAAGCTCCCTTTTCAATGGCTGATGAGTTGAGCTTAAGTTGGGCTTTAGTGTGCTTTTGTCAGTTTTGGAAGACCAGAAGAAACAGAAAATGTTTTCTCTTCGAAGTTTACTACAGTATCACAAAAAAAGCACTTGCTTTCTGGGTATATGACTTAACCTAACCTTCAGTCATGAGAAAGACAACTGACTTAGTGTTTTAGTACTCTAAAATAGTACCGCATGGTTCCTTTGGGTAATAACAGCTTCTGTGAATTTTGTACTAAAAATTATTTTAAGTTTGTTAAATTTTTAATGGCCTGAAATTTTGTATATCTTCTTTTCTCTGTTATTGTAACCTTATTGCTGTCATACTTCTAACATTTACATGCCTCCTTTCTACATACCTACCCAGGAGATACTACTGTCATCTAGGACAGTGCTATTCAGATTGCTGGTTCACAGCAAGATAAGGGGTTTATGTCAGAATGTAAATCAACGTGGTGCTTCCGTCATCGAGAGAGACTTGCTATGAAAAATATGCCAGCTGAACTAAACAGTGTACTTAGTGACTTATCTGTTTTATATTTTGGTGCAAACTCTTTTGTCATGGACCAGTATCAAACCATTCTCAGATTAGAATTGAATTTGCAGACTACCAGCAGATTCATGGACTAACAGTTGGTCAGGGAACGACATGTTAAGGAGCATTGGCCTGGTTTACACAGAAGATGGATGCTTCAGTAATGTGAAATCTGTAGTTTATCATAGAGTTCCGATTGTCCTAAAGGGCCATAAAGCATTAAAATGCAAAAATTGGACTTCCCTGGTGGGGCAGTGGTTAAGAATCCGCCTGCCACTGCAGGGGATACGGGTTCGATCCCTGGTCCGGGAAGATCCCACATGCCACGGAGCAACTAAGCCCGTGCACCACAACTACTGAGCCTGTGCTCTAGAGTCCACGTGCTGCAACGACCGAGCCCACGTGCCGCAACTACTGAAGCCCGTGCGCCTAGGGCCCATGCTCCACAACGAGAGAAGCCACCGCAATGAAAAGCCCGCGCACCACAACGAAGAGTAACCCCCGCTCGGCACAGCTAGAGAAAGCCCGCGCACAGCAACAAAGACCCAGTGCAGTCAAAAAAAAAAGAAAAGCAAAAATTATGGATGTTTCTTTTATTTTTTTATTCTGAGATAATTTGAATTTAATTACACCTAGTGACCCAGTGTTAGTGAAATTCTGTGATAGTTAGAAGGAATGACCAGCTATAAAATTAAGGCTTGAAAAGTGTATCATCTGTATTGCTTTTTTAAAATTATTATACTATAATTGGATGTCAGATTTTTTTATTTTCATACTTCCAATGTGATTTTGCAGTTGAGTAATTTGTTAGTGATGTGCGTATAAAATCTGAATTTTGATTTGAAGGAAGTTATTGAGATGAAATTGGAAGCTGATTACATTAAAACATCATATACTGTATTGATAGTCATGTATTTACTCAGTGCATTGGGCAGTTCACAAGCCTTCATTATAGACCCTTAGTAAATGCATATACGTGCACTATTAAATAATATTAAAAGGGCATAGGTGATCTTATCTGGTATTAGGTTGAGGGATTTAAATTAGTTCCTAAGTTATTATTTACTGAATGCATCTATCTTCAAGCAAATTTACAGAGCTAAAAATTGTTTTTTGTTCTTTCTTATTCGTGTCCTTATGAAAACGATTAAACTACACTCCTGTATTTTGAGGTTTAGTTTATTGTAAGTCCTACATGCTGAAAACATTTTATAGAGAGTATCATGCAGTTCTAAGGTAGGTGAGCTTTTTTCCCATTCAACTCTATACCTAAATTTATCCTTCAAAAAAATGAGCTTGACATTATTTTTATTTGTGGACCTCATAGTGATTTTTCTATATATTTTAATAGATCTATTTTAAGAAAATGTGATGTTTCAGTATTTAATTACTTGTAAATGTTACCTGGTTTACACATTAAGAACCAATCATTTGTCTCCATTTAGGCTAAACTTGTTTTTTTCTCCAAAGGGTACTGTGGAACACTGCATAATAGGAGTAATAATCCTCTCAGAATTGACTCAGGAAATGAACCTGGTAAGCCTTTCCATCTAATGGTGACATGAAGTTTGCTAGGTAATGTCATTTCTTTGATGTAAAATCTTTGTGTGGCTTAAAACTCTGAATAAGCAAGTCTTTTTTTTTGGGCGGGGGTGTCTGTTTTATTGGTGGGATAATCAAGTATTGGAACACTTTTACTGTTACCGAAAATGACAGTAACAATATAAAGTACTACAAAGAACAGGAAATTAGACATGGTCCTCTCTCCATGGCAATTGGAGGATCGTCCTTTTATCCTCTGTATATGTAGTAATATACTAATCATAAAAATAAATTATACGCAAAAATGGAACAAGCCTTTATTTGCTTACACATAAAAGACAAGCAGTTTAGCAGTTTGGTAAATTGATTCTCAATAATGGATACACAGCATGACTCAACAAAGAACAGGATACTTGGCACTTTGCTACTTGTTAGCATGGGTTTCACCCATACAAGGAGAGTTTGCAGAAGCTATGCTTACCCCCCACCAACGCCTTTATGAACTCAGCAGCTGAGCACATCCTCACCTGCTCCTGTTCATTTTTGTATTTAACATGGTTCTAAACAGAACAAAAGCAGAAGTTGGGTTTTACATGGAATAATGTTATAATAAAGGGGAATTTATTCTTTATATTTAAGAACTTTTATCATCGTTTTTTTAAATTGAAGTACAGTTGGCGTACAATATTAGTTTCAGGTGTATAACATAATGATTTGACATTTATACATATATATATATATATATATATATATATATGAATGGATCACCACATAAGTCTAGTAACCACCTGTCACCAAAGTTATTAAAATATTATTGACTATATTCCTCATGCTGTACATTATATCCCCGAGACTTATTTATTTTATAACTGGAAGTTTGTACCTATTAATCTTCTTCACCTATTTCATCCAGCCCCCATCCCCCTCCTCTCTGGCAACCACCAGTTTGTTCTCTGTATCCATGAGTCTTTCTGTTTTGTTTTCTAGATTCCACATATAAGTGAAATCAGATGGTATTTGTCTTTCTCTATCTGACTTATTTCACTTAGCATAATACCTTCTAGGCCCACCCATGTTATTGCAGATAGCATGATTTCATTCTTTTTTAATGACTGAGTAATTCCATTGTGTGTATTTATACTACATACTCTATTCATTGATCTATTGATAGACACTTAGGTAGCTTCCATATCTTGGCTATTGTAATTGATGTTGCAGTGAACATAGGGGTGCATATATCTTTTTGAATTAGTGTTTTTGTTTTCTTTGGGTAAATACCCAGAAGTGGAATTGCTGGATCATATGGTAGTGCTATTGGGTTCTCCAAAAAAAAAAAAAAAATCTTATGGAAAAACCCAAACAAACTTTTTGCCCAACCCAATATTTTTAATTTTTTGAGGACCTTCCATACTATTTTCCATAGCAGCCATACTAATTTACATTCCCACAAACAGTGCACAAGGGTTCCCTTTTTGCCAGGTCCTTGCCAATACTTATTTGTTGTCTGTTTAATAATAGCCATTCTGAAAGACGTGAGGTGATATCTCACTGTGGTTTTGATTTGAATTTCCCTGAGGATTAGTGATATTGAACATTTTTTCATATGTCTGTTGGCCTTCCTTGTGTTTTCCTTAGAAAAATGTCTATTCAGGTCCTCTGCCTATTTTTTATTCAGATTTTTTTTTTGATACTGAGGGTAGGGAAGTTTTCAGCAATTATGGCTTCAAATACATTCTGTGCTCTTTTCTTTCTCTCTTCTCCTTCTGGGACCCCTATAATAATGCAAATGTTAGTATGCTTGTTGTTGTCTTAGAGGTCCCTTAAGCTATCCTCATTTTTTAAAAACTCTTTTTTCTTTTTGCAGTTCCAATTGGGTTATTTCGACTACCCTGTCTTCTAGATTGCTGATCCATTCCTTTGCTTCCTCTAGTCTGCTGTTGATTCCCTCTAGTATATTTTTCATTTCAGTTATTGTATTCTTCAGTTCTTGTTGGTTCTTTTTTATATTTTCTATTTCTTTGTTGAAGTTCTCACTGAGTTCATCCATTTGTCTCCCGATTTTGGTGAGCATCTTTATCACTTACTTTGAACTCTTTATCTGGTAAGTTGCTTATCTCCATTTTGTTTAGTTCCTTTCCTGGGGTTTTGTCTGATTCTTTCAATTGGAAGGTATTCCTTTGCCTCCTCATTGTGTCTGAGTCTCTGTGTTTGTTTCTGTGTAGTAGGTGTATCAGCCACATCTCCTGGTCTTCAAACAGTGGTCTTAACGTAAAAGGGGTTCTATGGGGCCCGGTGGTACCCTCTCCCTGGTCACCAGAGCCGGGTGCTCCAGGTGCTCCTCCTCCTTTGTGGGAGCTGTGTGTGCCCTCCTGTTGTGGTTGGGCCAAGATTGCTGCAGGCGTACTGGTTGTTGGGGCTGGTCCCGGCCCAGCTGGCTGAGAGGTCTGGCTCTGAGTGCTGCAGGTGGGCTGATGTGCTGATCTGTGGTTTTCTCGTTGTCTCATCTCAGGAAGCACATGATTTGATTTGTTACATCACTAATGATGTTCACTTTGGTCACTTGACTAAGATGGTCTCTACCAGGCTTCTCCAATTGTACATTTATTCTTTTCCCCTTTGTAAATAATGAGTATTTTGTGGGCAGGTAGTTTAAGACTCTGAAAATACCTTATTCCTCATTAAACTTTTAATTTATTCATTTATTATTTCTATCAGCTTGGATTCCTGGTTTCTAACTTTGTTTAATAGGTTATAGTTTGTTACTTACATTATATTTTGGTGCCCAAATTTTCCCAAATTTGGCCATTAGGAACCCTTTCAGGCTGGCATCTCTGTTCATTTGACATTTATTCACCATCCTTTGAACATTTTCTTACTTTCTGTCACAAGATGTTCCATGCTTATCTTGTGTAGAACTAGGTACCTTCTGAAGAAAGCTTCAAGCTCTGAAGTGTGATTTTGACTTTGTATGGTAAAAAATACATGGCTTCTGTGGAGACATTTTACTTAGCCTAATTTTAGAGCATTAACAACTTCAACTAGCATTTCTTAAGTACTTCTGAACCAGGCAATAGGGAGATCTACAATGCATAATGAAAATCAAATACAATTGTCAAATGTGAGCCAGGTAAATTCATGTAGGGTCAATAACAGGATGTATCTTCTAAGAAAAAGATCTAAACTTGAGGTTTCTTAAAAATTTAGAATTATATGTTACCATGCTTTTGTAGAAGCTAAGTCTAGTATTCCTGCAGTATATTCAAAATATAATCATCAAGAAGTAAAATATTCTTTGCCTACATGGTAGAGACATAGTTATGCAGTAGAAAATGGATGCATAATCCCTCTTATCAAAAAAATTGGATATCTAAATAAATAACCCAAGTAGAATAAGCATGTATGCCTTGAAGATAACTCTGAAATAAGACCTGGATTTGTGTTTTAGCTCTATTGCCTGCTGCTTTGTCCAAACTTCTTAATGTCTTTAAACTTACATATCACTATCTGTAAAGCAATCATGACACTTTCCTTGGGTCTTACTAAGATTAGATAAGTTACTAGCACAGGTCCTAGTACATACAAGTACTCAGTAAACCCAAGGTTCTTCCCTCAGTGTTATAGATATGGTGTGCCTGTGAGCTTTAATTTTCTTGTATGTGAAAAGAGAATAATATGTATCTCACAGGTTCGTTTTGAGGATTTAGTGAAATAATATGTGAAGAGTACATAAGTTGAGATTATAATGCTGTATGCTATTATTAATTTGTATTAAGGAGAAATTTTTATATATTGAGGGAAACTGAAGAGACAGACCAATTGAAGGAGAGAGAGATGGACGTTTGATTTAAAAGAAGGGGGAAATGCTGGAAATGCTAACTTGAATCTTACATAGTGGGTAGAGATTCCAGTAACTGCTTTCTGTAATCACTTTGGGCTTCTGTTATGTTTCATGTTTCTATAAGTAAATGTGGTATTTAAGTATAATATGATGGAGCTTAGGAAGTGTCAGATAATCAATTTTGATCTCACTAGTTTTTTCAAATCTATAAATATCAGGAAGGAAAATGGTTTATTTTCATCTTTCAGATACCAAAATGAATGCTATAGCCACTGTAGCCTGTGGTGTTAATAATTGTTTGGGTATCAGATTTCAGCTTTGTTTGCTGTTTCCTAGTGATAAATGGAAATATTAATGGTACTAATAGTATAGTTTTTGCCATATTATATTTTAGATTAGAGGCTCAAGAACTAGTCTTAGTAAACTTATTCTTAAAAATTATTTTTTATTAACTAATAAAATATTCAGGGGGAATATACTGTTATGTAGTAAATCAAATTTCTGATTATTTATAATTTCTGCCTTGGTTTTTTTTTTTAGAATATCAAAATACATGAATCAGTGACATATCTGATATATATAGAAATGTCACTTTCATATAGAAGAATCTTTCTGTAACTGATTCAGTTTGCTGATTCACAGAATGTTAGAATTTGAGGATTATCTCAGAGATTTCCCATTTCATAGGTGGAGCCTGAGGAACAGGGAAGCTGTTACTTGCCTAATGTGAAATATGATACATGACTCAGGAGTGGATAGTATCTATTATTTTCTAATCTGTGTTTATATTGCCTCTGAAAGTATGATCAATTCTGCTTTTCAATTTTGGCATCAGTATAGTTTGTAGAGAGAGCACTGAATTAAAACAATACAGAAACTTGGGTTCTAGTCGTGGCTCTGCCATTATTAGCTCTTTGAGTAACCTTAAACAAATCACTTATACTAGTAGATTTTTAAAAGCTCTTTTAGCTCTATACTTTATGATTCTTTAATCATTATTTTCATTCCTTTTCTTACATAGTAAATTTTTGCTTTGCTGTTTGGCAAGTCTGGTTAAATAAATTCATCTTGAACTTTTTAGGTTGATTATTCTAGACCTTCAGCAAAACACAGGAAAATAGCTACCTCATTTCGTGACACTTCTCTTAAAGACATTTTAGTGCTAGCATGCTCTCTTCTAAAAGAGGTAAGTTACTTAATAATTCAGCATCCTGTTTCAGAAGAATTTCAGATGAATTCCCCTGTGCCCGTTTAATTTAAGTACAAATTAATTTGCACAAATCTATAAGCGGTTCCAAAAAATTCACTTTTATTTAGTCGGGATATAATAAAGTAAGATCCAAAGGGAATTTAGTAACTTGTCTTTAGACAGTAGTTTCATTATCTTCCTACCGTAGATTACTTATTACAGAAGCTATTTGAGACGTAGTTTCTGTATTGCCCTGCCCATATTTTAACAGGGTGCAGATGAACAATGAAATGACGGCAAGTTTTCCTAATTCATCATTTCTCAATATTTTTTCAGAGTTGAGCCAAGATAGTTGACTTTAATAATTTCTTTAGGAAATAATATTTTCCCATTTGCTACTTAGTGCCCTATTGAACATTAGTATGTTCATAGTATGATTCATAATTATATTGTTTTCTCTTGTAATATAGGGACTCCCTCATTCTACTCAAGCTTGTTAATTGGTGTAGTAGAGCATTTCCCAAAGTATGTTCCACTAATCACTAGTTTCTACTTATTTAAATTCTGTGATATAGTAACATGGTAACTGCCACACTAGGCCAGACTGAAAGTTCCTCTATTTAAAAATTTTTCTTTTAGTATGAAAAATTTTAACATATATACAAGAAGATCGAATAGTATAATAAACTCCCTTAGACCCAGCAACCAGATAAGCATTAACAACTCGTGACCAATCTTGTTTCATCTCTATCCTTAACTAACCACTTTATTTCTTTCTGTGTTTTTCTTGAAGCAGAATCCCAAGCTTCTTATCATTTCCTCCACAAATATTTCACATTGTATCTCTAGGAGATATAATCTGTTCTGGTTGTGTCAGAATGAACATTTTGAGGGGGTCGGGATTGTTCTCCAGGAGCTTGTGAGTGTCCTCCCACATTCAAACAGCTCTGAGAACCTTTGTTAGCTGAATGTGTATCGTTTATGCATGAAGCTCCCCTACTTTTTCTTGAAGAATATTATATTTTCAGCTTGTTCCAATTGCTCCTTTGAGCTAACGAATCCTGTACATTTATACATTTGTGCTGTGTAAAGTATTTGTCCTAAAGTTACTTCCTACAACTTTAGAAGGTGATCTCCAGTATGCAGTTAAATATGAAAGGTTTTAACCCCATTTTACAAGATTAAATTTGAAAATTTAATCTATTTAGATTTTTGTTGATAGTGATATTACAGTTTTTTTCTGATATATACAACATAACTATGCAAATTCTTTTTTTTTTAACTAATTTTAATTTGGAACTGAAGAATTATTTAAATTAGTTGACTAAAATTCTTTTAATTGACATATGTCATAATGTTTCCTTTGACTCTGAACCTCTTTCAGGTGTTGGCCAAGCCTTTAAACCTTCAGGATCAAGGTCAACAAAACCTAGTAATGCAAGTCTTGAAACTGGTCCTCAACTGCCTTAACTTTGACTTCATTGGCAGTTCAGCAGATGAATCTGCAGATGATCTTTGCACAGTACAGATTCCAACAACTTGGAGAACAAGTAAGAAAAAAGTTTAGTGTAAGGAATGGTCAACATAAAATACACAGGATTAGCAGTATAGTTGCTTTATGTGCAATTATCTCTGTTTTTTACCTGGCAATCAGAAAGTTCAAAAAAACTTGTAACCTAAGGTAGCTGCTGATACCCAATGTTGAAATCTGTTTTCCTCAGTTCATATCATAGTAACCTCTGTATTTTGATTTTGGAAAAAAGAAAAGACAACTCTAGAGTTGGAGGATGACAAGTTTAGGTGGGGAAATGAAGAGCTCTGTTTTGAAATTTTCAGATAAACAGTAGGAGAGGATATAACACTTGGCAGGAGATATCAACATATTTTTCAAAGTTATAAAGAGAATGAATTAGAGTAGCTAATTTAGCAGAGCAGAATTGCAATTTACTTTGTTACAGAGAAGGACACCAAAAAGGAGCAAACTCACTTGCTGTCACACATCCCAGAAAGATGATGGCAATAGGGCTTTCCTGTTGAAGTCAGAGGTAGGGAATTGGGCTGAAAGGACTTGGTAAAAAGTCTATGTTCTGCACAAACACCCCTGGGATCTTCTCTACCACCTCTGTGCAGCTCTTTGACTGCCCTTTTCCCTTCCTTCCCTATGTGTACTTCCCTCTAGATTCCCAAGACCAGAGCTTTTTTCTCTTGAGAAATTAAACTGGAGAGGTTTCTCATTCAGGGGTATCAGATATAGTAGAGAAACACCATACATTTGGTGAAAACTTCTAATATGGAAGTCAGAGATTAAAAGAAACAATTAAAAGGGACTTTGTATCTTGATAGTAGTGATGAATGCATGAACCAACACATGTAGTAAAAATTGCACAGACTAAATACACACACACACACACACACACACACGAGTACATGTAAAACTGGGAAAGCCAAATAAGATTGGTGGATTGGATTTTATCAGTGTGCCTTCTTGATTGTGATGTTGTGCTTTAGTTTTGCAAGAACTTACCATTTGGGGAAATGGGGTAAACAATACATGGGATCTCTCTGTATTATTTCTTGCAACTGCGTATAAATCTAATTATCTCAAGAAATCTTTTTTTAAAAAGGGAGAGTTAGTAGAAACAGAGACAAAGTGAAGAGTCGAAGTAAATTTCAAAAAGGTTTAATTACTATCCTCAGAGAGATAAGAAAAGGTAATGCATTCCTGAAACATGAATAGGATATTGTTTCAAAAACGGAAGTTAAGACAGTGTTCCAGATATACAAGTTGCCCAAATAAAACATTCAGTAAAAGAATTGGAAGATAAAGCTAAGGAAATATCCCAGAAAGTAGAACCAAAAAAGCAAGAAGAGATTTGATAGAAAAAAATGCAAGAATATTAAAGCATGAAACTAGGAAGCTTGACATCTGACTATTAGGAGTTCAAGAAAGGACAGGAAAAAACAGAAGGCAATTTGCAAACAATACCAAAAAAAAATTCTCAGCAATGAGATACATAAATTTTCACATTGAAAGATCCCATAAGTACCCAACATAATGAATGAAAAAAAATACACTAAGCTTCATAATCATGACATTTCAGAATAACAAGGACAAAGAGAACCTAAAATCTACCGGAAAGAAAGTCACCTACAAAGGATTGGGATCAAGAATGGTATTAGAGGGCTTCCCTGGTGGCGCGGTGGTTGAGAGTCCGCCTGCTGATGCAGGGGACACCGGTCCGGGAAGATCCCACATGCGGCTGGTCCCGTGAGCCATGGCCGCTGAGCCTGCGCGTCCGGAGCCTGTGCTCCGCAACGGGAGAGGCCACAACAGTGACAGACCCGTGTACCGCAAAAAAAAAAAAAAAAAAAAAAAAAAAAAAATGGTATTAGATTTCTCAACAGTAGTACTGGAAGCTAGAGGACAATGGAGTAATATCCTCAGACATGTAAATCGTTCTGAAATTTAGCCCTTATGTACTTGCTGTTATGAAGCTACTTGATATACAAGCAAGAAAATGGAGGATATGGAGTTCAAGAAAGCTAACACAAGATGACAATCAGCAGACATAAAAAGGAGATAATTATGTAACACATTTTGGAACAGCCAGTCTAAGTTGAAGAAGGCTCCAGGAGGAAGGGGTGGGAAAATGGAAGTGATAGGTTATTTGATGCTATCGACCAGGTGGAGAATGGCATGAAGAACATTTTGCAAATCTGTCAGAACATTTGGAAAGAATTAATGACAGATATCGACCTACACAACTAAGCACAGAAAAGATGCTGTGATTAAATCCAGGGAGTGTTGGAAATGTGATATAATCATAGTATACTTGGCTTAGCTGTTAACATTATTTACCTAGTCATAATAAAGTAAACACTTAGAATTGATTTAATTCCATATTGTTATAACAGTGGATGGATTTTTGAGAGAGGATGGATTGTAGAAAGAGTGGTGGGAGTAGAGGGGAGAGTGTACCCGTAACAAGGTCATTTGAGACCTAAAATAAAATAGTCAAAGACATGTAATACAGCATGTAATTTGGAAACATGTATTTAAATATACCTAAGAGTTGAAAGGCAGTTGGAATGGAGTAGGGTACAGCTGTTTTTTACTATATACTTTTTAGTACTATTTACTTTTTTATACTATTTGAATTTTTAAATGTTTTTATTACCTTAATATAAATGAAAATAGTGAGAAGGTTCTCTCGATAGGAACTGTAGGTGCTACATGGAAATAAGGAACATCTTAGCTAATTAATTTTTATCTTTGTATTATTTCATATTTCAAAGGAAAATAGCTAGGAATTAAAAAGGAATTAAGCCTAACTGCAGGGAAGGATTGGCCACATGCAGAGGTCTTGGAGTTCTTGGTTTGTATGATAATGTCTTACTATGTGAAGATCACTGAATTGAAAGTAATGGTGTTAGAATTTTTTTTTTTTTCCAGTTTTCCTGGAACCAGAAACATTGGATCTTTTCTTTAATTTGTATCATTCACTTCCACCACTCCTATCTCAGTTAGTAAGTAAAACTCATTCATTATTTCATTAAAAAGTACCTGTGATATTTATCTAAGGGTGGTACATATTTATTTATATTCTTGATTAGGTTTACCTCTCATAAGAGATTCTTACATCATCTGGGATTTATATTACGTAAGCTATTTGTCAGTTTCTATTTATAGTCCATAGTTCCCGTCATTTCACTGGTGAGCCCAAAACCCATAACTGGTGATTTCGTTCCTGCCCATAGCCAAGACAACCTATCAACCTCTAAGTATCTTTTTTCCCACTCAGTCCCCACCCCCAGCTCTTCTTCTGGGCCTCAGTCCAGTAGTTTGCCACCCCACCTGTTACCTTCCCTTTTCTTAACCTCTCTGACTCTTTCTCCACTTTGCTTGGCTCCATGTCAGGCTTGCCATGTGGCCCCCATCAGATATCTCCAAATGAGAAACAAAGGGGATCTGCTCACTTGATTTTGTGCTCATCACTCCAGCTGTTCATTTATTTTTTGAATCAGATTCTGTTGTGTGCTAAAAGATTCTTGAAACTCTTTGGTTATAGTATGGAACTTTGAGACTCTGTATCCCATCTTTGTGGAATCTAAAACAGAGACCAGGCAAGATTGAAAAAAAAAAGAAAGTTGTTAGCTTAATATCTAAGCTTGTAGAAGTGAAGTTGGGGAATTCTTATGTTGTCATTTCCCGAAAAAAGATGTTCCATATTTAAAGTACATATCAGCAGTATGTTTGTTTAGATATGTTATCACCTAGAAGGGAGGAATAGGTTCACAAAAATACTCCCTCCCTTTCTTAGAAAACATGTTTGCTCTCAAATCGAGGGTTTTAAGGTGGTTTCAAATCGAGGGTGGTTTTTAAACTGGGTTTCACAGGACACTCATGTTTCCAGGTGGTGCCACAGAACTTCAGCCTTCTGTCTTTTAACCAGAATAGTCTTGTTTTTAGTTGTTTAAAAACCATGGTTTCATGTACAGTTATGTTTTGGGATAAAACAAACAAGCTACTGGTGCTTAAAAGTAGATTGGAAAGCAACTGCTTTAAGAGAATGTAACTGACATTTATTGGGCATGCCCTATCCTATGATGCTTATCTCACTTCATCCTCACAGTGGCCCTGCAAGGTAAGTATTGTTACCTTCACTATGTAGACAAGGAAACAGATCCAGAATGGCCTAAGTGACTTCCGTCAGGGCAGTGAACTAAATTTTGGAGTTGAGATTCAAACCCAGGTGGTTTTGGCCCCAAACCCCTGGATATTTTTATTACGCTAGTGGTTCCTGAACCTTCTACACATCAGAAGGGAGTTTTGTTTTTTGGGTTGTTTGCTTGGATTTTGTTTTTAACATTAAGGACTGTGGCAAACTGAGTAACATCTAAAAAGGCTATCCTCTGATTTTTGTCCCTATTCTCACCCTTGCCAAGAGAGCCAGTCATTTTGTGTGAAATCTCCTAACTGGAATATTTAAATATTGACAAATAATTCTTTTTCTTTTTTTTTTAAAGTGGGCAAGTTTACATATGTGGGCCAGTTTGGCCTGAAAGTTGCCAGTTTTGGGCCTCTCAGTTAATGAACAAACAGGCTTCAGTGGGTTCCAGTAGTAGAATTAAGAACCCGAGAAGTGAAATTGACTGGTAAAGTATTAACTTCAGAAAGATAACTAGGCCACAGACACTTTGCAGGAATTTTTATAGGGTATCTGACTTTTTCAGCAGCATTTTCCAAATTGTTCCTCAAGATACTAATAAATGGTGTGAGCAAGATGTTTTATCACCAGATAAATTTGGGACATGCTGGATTAAGTAAAGTTAAAGGATTTTTTTCCCACTTGCAGGATACCACAGTGCATATTGTACAGTAGTTCCCAAATGTATTCTACAACAAAACCATATTTTCTTTTTGGTGAAACACCTGGTTCGTTGGTTTACAAACGGATTAGGCATCAAGCAATTAGGAGCCTTTGAGTGTATGCAGGTCCCGGCTCTGCTCTGGTGTATTTAATATATACAAAAATATTAGAGGAATTTTACACAGAAATAGGAATTCTAGTGGTGGGATTGACGGGTTTTGGGTGGTGGTAATTATTGATGATGTTTAGCTTTCATTGTTTTTGGAATCTATAACACTATTTTATCATTAAAATTAAAAAAATTTAAATGTAAAGAATAATGTTCCTTACATGTGGCCTTACATTAATTTTAAAGGTGAAATGAATTTTGTTGTTCCTGTTTTTAGGCACTTTCATGTTTAGTTCAGTTTGCGTCTACAAGAAGGTCCTTATTTAGCAGTCCTGAACGTGCCAAGTACCTTGGTAATTTAATCAAGGGAGTAAAAAGGATACTTGAAAACCCTCAGGTATTTTTGAAGTAATTTAATTAATATTTACCATATTTAAATACAGTTTTTCTGCTGAAAGGTGCATAATAAACTTATGACTTTATTACGATTCTGGAAGAAAATAAGTATCATATTCTACTTTCTTGGATCTCATTTGTAGTATAAATGGGCAGCTTTTAAAAGTGAATGTTTTCCTGACTGACTGCTGTGTTGTTCTTTTTATTTTTCCCGTTCTTTTAGGTAAATATGAATAGAGGTTGTATACCTTATTATGCTTCTGCTTTCTACCATTGTACTTTCCTTGCACTTCTTAAATTACTGAAGTGATTAATTCAGTCATATCTACCTTCTAAACTAGAGGACAGTATAAATCTGGATGTTAATATTGGAATAAGTGGCTTTAAATTATGAATATCTTTTTTGCCCTCTTGTGGACAATAAAAATTTGTAGATTTTTAAATCTACTCTCTATGTTAACTGCAAATCTTCAGTGGCAGTGTTCATTTCAGAGAATTGCACAGCCATTATAAATTAGTGATTTTGGATGCCTAGATAAAATTTGTTTCACTTTTGGTTTAAAATATCTGTAATGAAAGTACAAATATTAAAAGGTTAAATGATGATTTAAGGAGGTTTATCTAAGTCTCTTGGTTATTAATAACTTAGGGGGGACATATAATATCTATACATAAAGAAAACATGCTTACTCTATAAAGAACAGTTGTTTTTGCAGATTAAGAGGTATTTTATGTGTTGTGCATTCGTTTTACCTTTTCACTGTTGGCATAACTGTGAAATTTATGTGTTTTGCTGATAAATGGGATTTTTACCAATATATCGATACTTTAAAATTTTTAGTTATTCAGCTCACTATCATCAGTCAATATGTGGAAGATAATATGCTAATATCAGATAATTCTCTTAATTGATTTTCCAGTATCCTCATGTTGATGTGTTATGGCTCCAAAAGTTAATTTGAATATTATATATATTTTTAGAATTATAAATATGTATTAAAAGACCCATGAATACAAAACATATTTTTAAATTAGTCCTTAATAATTAGAAACTATGTTATATTTTTTCATGGGTTGAAATTTTTTACAAACTCTTTCACTATTAAACAGATACTGAAAGATACTTGAATTCTGTTTCATGCCAGCTATAGTGCAGAGTTCTCAAACTATAAAGATAATAACATACATGTCCTATCTTCAAGGAGCTCACTGGGGGCACCTTTCTTGGTCTTTCCTTTTAAGCTGTCCTCCCCACGAAGTTACCTCTGTTTCTTGTAGTACTTTTGTTAAACTTTCTGCTCTACATTGCAGCAGTTTATTTGAATGTCTTAAGAGACAAGGAGTTGCTTGAGGACATAATGCCTCTAGGTACTCAATAAATATTTGTTGAATTAAAAGGTGTTTCTGTTATTTGTGGGTACACATTTAATGTAAGTCTAGTGGTATTGCTCTTTTCCAGGATTTCAAGAGCCCATTCTTATTTTCCATCTTAAATATTTTTCAGGTCTTGTATTGACTTCTATTTAAGTCACAAGATACACACTCTCTCTCCACCCTTTTCTGTCTCTTTTCTGTCTCTCATGCAAGTTTTTTTGGGGTAATATAGTGGTTCCCAAACATTATGATTTAGTCATCATGGTCAAAGCTTCCTCCAAAGCCTCTAGTTTGGATTTCTTATTATTAATCATTTATGACAACGTTAAGTCCAGTAGGAATCATTTGGTTTTTTGTTGTTAAGTTTTTTAAAAAGCCTTTCTTTTTGTCTCATAATTTAGGGTTTGTCCAATCCAGGTAATTATCATGAATTTTGTCGATTTTTGGCTCGTTTAAAGACGAATTACCAGCTGGGAGAATTAGTTATGGTGAAGGAGTATCCTGAAGTTATCAGATTGATTGCTAATTTTACCATTACTAGCCTACAGGTAAATAAAAATATATAGTTGATGTTAAACTGTAGATAGTTTTAAAACACTTTCTTGGTAAGATTTGGTAGGGATTTAAAAAAACATTTATTAGAGCACTTTGCTAAAAATGTTCATTGCAAGATTTTAGGTAAAAAACTTCTTTGTAACAAATTTTATAATAATAAAAATTTAGAGGCCATCTAAATATCTAATAATTAAAGACCGAATTGAGATGCTGTAGTAAAATCTATGTGGAGAAATAAAATAAAGTTTTACAGATTAGTTTTCGGAAAAATTCTTTTTATAAGTTTGGGGGGAAGTTTTAAAACCATATTTTCCACATGATATCAACTCTGTGAAAAAATATTCCTGGAAAGATTAGAAGGAAGTTCACAAACATTTAACAGAATTTGCTATTTTAAATGTTCATTGGTTATAATCAGAATAAAAGTTTATTTTAAACTGTATGTTTACTAATTTTGCCTCTCCATTTCTTATTCTAGGAAGACATAATGTCATTTTAAATAACGTTTGCTTTATTTTTTTGTAGCATTGGGAATTTGCTCCCAACAGTGTTCATTATTTATTAACTCTCTGGCAAAGGATGGTAGCATCAGTTCCTTTTGTGAAATCAACTGAACCCCACTTATTAGACACTTATGCACCAGAAATCACGAAGGCCTTTATCACTTCTCGGTTGGAATCTGTTGCCATAGTTGTGAGGTATTGAAAACTAAATGTTTTTGTTGTATTTTCATCTTCTGCATCTTGGAATTTTTAAAAATGGAGGTATAATTTACCTATGGTAAAATTCACCTTTTTTAGTATACAGTTCTGTGAGTTCTGACAAGTGTATGCCGTTGTGTTTAACAGCACAATCAAGATATAAAATAGTTCCATCACCCCAAAAAGTTTTTTTAGGTTCCTTTGTAGTCAGACCTTTCCCCATCCTCAGCATCTGGCAATTATTGATGTTTTGTTCCCTAAGATTTTTGTCTTTTTTGGATGTTATTGCATAAATGAAATCATATAGTATGTAGCCCTTTAGTCTGGCTTCTGTCACTTAGCATAGTGCATTTGAGATTCTTCCATTTTGTGTCAGTAGTTCTTTACTTTTTATTGCTGAATAGTATACCATTTTATGGATATATCACAGTTATTAGTCCACTCACCTATTGATGGACATTTGGGTTCTTTCTGTTTTTGCCTTTATGAGTAAAATAGCTGTAAGTGTTCCTATACAGATTTTTGTATGAATTTAAGTTTTTATTTCTCTTGGATAAATTCCTAGGTGTGAGATTTCTGGGTTGCCTGGTAAGTGTATATTTTACTTTATAAGAAATTGCCAAACTGTTTTCCAAAGTTGCTGTATCATTTCACATTCCCACCAGCAGTGTATGAAAAATCCAGTTGCTCTGCATCCTCACCAGCACTTGATATTGCCAGTTTTAAAAAATTTTAGTCATTCTAATAAGTGTGGTGCCTCATTGTGGTTTCAAATTGCATTCCCTTAATAACTAACAATGTTGAGGATCTTTTTATGTGCTTATTTACCATTTGTATATACTCTTTGGTAAAATGCCTGTCAAATATGTTCCCTTTTTTTTATTGGGTCGTTTATTTTCTTATCTTGCGATTAGAGAGGTCTGTATATTCTGGTCACAAGTCTTTTTATCATATGTGTTTTGCAAATATTTTTTCCCAGTCCATTGCTTGTCTCTTCATTTCCTTAACAGAGTCTTGCAAAGAGCAGGAGTTTTAAATTTTAATGAAGTCCAATTTATCATTTATTTTTTTCTTCTAGAAGTTTTATAATTTAAATTTAGGTCCATAATCCATTTTGAGTTAATTTTTGTATATGATATGAGGTTTAGACTCAATGTTATTTTTCTTTTTTTCCTTTTTGCATAGCGAAGACCAGTTATCCCCAACACCATTTGTGGAAAAGACTATCCTTTCTCCATTGCATTGCCTTTACTCTGTTTTCAAAAATTAATTGACCACATATGGATGGTTCTATTTTTGGACTCTTTTCTCATTAGTCTCTGTTTTTCTCCTTCTGCCAGTAGCCCCTGGCTTGAGTACTGTAGCCTTATAATAAGCTTTGAAATCAGGTAGTGTGAATTTTCACCTTGGTTTTCCCTTTTTAAAATTGTTTTGGCTCTTTTACTTCCTTTGCTTTTCTGTATAAATGTTAGAATCATCTTGTCAGTATCTACAAAAAAAAGTCCTGCTGGAGTTTTGACTAGAATTGCATTGAATTTGTAGATTAATTTGGAGGAAGAATTGACATCTCAGCAATATTGAGTCTTTTAGCCAATGAGCATGTTTATCTTTTATTTAGAGCTCTTCTGTGATTCCTTTCATCACTGTTTTGTATTATTCAGCCTTTAGATCTTACATATATTTAAGATTTAATTAGTGTTTTATGTTTTCTGGTGCCTTTGGAGATACTGTTTTTTAAACTTAAATTTCCAGTTGTTCGTGTTAGTATATAGTAATGAATTCTATATATTGATATGTATTGCTAGCACCTTGGAAATACACTCACCTGTTAGTCCTAGTAGCTTTCTTGTGGTTCACATTTTCAAATATAGACATTTTATTTCTTACCTTACAGTCTATGTCTTCTATTTCTTTATCCATGATAGAATTTTTATTTAACATAAATAAAGCTTATTTGTGGTGAATAAAAGTACATCTCATTCTAACGTCATCTGCAATCCTTTTCTTATATATTTGCAGAGATAATTTAGATGATCCACTGGATGATACCGCCACTGTGTTTCAGCAGTTGGAGCAGTTGTGCACTGTTAGCAGATGTGAATATGAGAAGACATGCACTCTTCTTGTACAGTTGTTTGATCAAAATGCACAGAATTACCAAAAGCTTCTGCATTCAGCTTCTGGAATAACTGTGGACATGGCAATTCAGGAAGGTCAGTAAATTTTATATGACCATATAAATAATATAATAATATGGTATTATGTTGAATTTTAAGTATCTTCATTAATCAATTTATTTAATAATTTTACTGCAACGTATTTTTGTTTATTTCCCCCAATTCTATTCCTCTAATAATCCATTAATTTTATTAACCTTCTGGGTATTTTGTTGGCTTGATGGTTTTAGTTCTTCATAAGATTCACAGGGAATATTTCTTTCTGGATTCACTATCAAAAAAAGCTGATAATGATCTTTGAGTAGAGTTTATTAACTTATAACTATCTTTTAACTAATCATGTTTCCCTCTTTGCTATATCTGACTGCAAATTCAAGCCCAGTTTTAGCCAGTAAAAATTTACCAAAGACCTCATCGTGGTTTTGCATTTGTTTATTTGCCTTCACCATGGCTTTATTTGATTATTATATGTCAATTTCTCAATTTCCTCTTTATTTTTCATTCTTTACTGAAGGAGGATTTATTTATTTCTGTATATTTCCTTAATACGAAAGGATTTTCAGGAACATAGGGAATTAAATACACTTTTCAGATTTTAAGTGGGATAACTTATGAGAATGGAACTGGCTATATACATTTCTTTTTTTTTTTTAACATCTTTATTGGAGTATAATTGCTTTACAATGGTGTGTTAGTTTCTGCTTTATAACAAAGTGAATCAGTGATACATATACATATGTTCCCATATCTCTTCCCCCTTGTGTCTCCCTCCCTCCCACCCCTCTAGGTGGTCACAAAGCACTGAGCTGATCTCCCTGTGCTATGTGGCTGCTTCCCACTAGCTATCTATTTTACGTTTGGTAGTGTATATATGTCCATGCCACTCTCTCACTTTGCCACAGCTTACACTCCCCCCCCCCCCATATCCTCAAGTCCATTCTCTAGTAGGTCTGTGTCTTTATTCCCGTCTTACACCTAGGTTCTTCATGACATTTTTTTTTTCTTAGATTCCATATATATATGTTAGCATACGGTATTTGTCTTTCTCTTTCTGACTTACTTCACTCTGTATGACAGACTCTAGATCCATCCACCTCACTACAAATAACTCAATTTCGTTTCTTTTTATGGCTGAGTAATATTCCATTGTATTTATGTGCCACATCTTCTGTATCCATTCATCCGATGATGGACACTTATGTTGCTTCCATCTCCTGGCTATTGTAAATAGAACTGCAATGAACATTTTGGTACATGACTCATTTTTAATTATGGTTTTCCCAGGGTATACCCAGTAGTGGGATTGCTGGGTCATATGGTAGTTCTATTTGTAGTTTTTTAAGGAACCTCCATACTGTTCTCCATAGTGGCTGTAGTAATTCACATTCCCACCAGCAGTACAAGAGTATTCCCTTTTCTCCACACCCTCTCCAGCATTTATTGTTTGTAGATATTTTGATGATGGCCATTGTGACCGGTGTGAGATGATATCTCATTGTAGTTTTGATTTGCATTTCTCTAATGATTAATGATGTTGAGCATTCTTTCATGTCTTGGTTGGCAATCTGTATATGGTCTTTGGAGAAATGTCTATTTAGGTTTTCTACCCATTTTTGGATTGCGTTGTTTGTTTCTTTGTTATTGAGCTGCATGAGTTGCTTGTAAATTTTGGAAATTAATCCTTTGTCAGTTGCTTCATTTGCAAGTATTTTCTCTCATTCTGAGGGTTGTCTTTTGGTTTTGTTTATGGTTTCCTTTGCTGTGCAAAAGCTTTTGAGTTTCATTAGGTCCCATTTGTTTATTTTTGTTTTTATTTCCATTTCTCTACAAGGTGGGTCAAAAAGGATCTTGCCATGATTTATGTCATAGAGTGTTCTGCCTATGTTTTCCTCTAAGACTTTGATAGTTTCTCGCCTTACATTTAGGTCTTTAATCCATTTTGAGCTTATTTTTGTGTATGGTGTTAGGGAGTGTTCTGATCTCATACTTTTATATGTACCTGTCCAGTTTTCCTAGCATCACTTATTGAAGAGGCTGTCCTTTCTCCACTGTACATTCCTGCCTCCTTTATCAAAGATAAGGTGACCATATGTGCGTGGGCTTATCTCTGGGCTTTCTATCCTGTTCCATTGATGTATATTTCTGTTTTTGTGGCAGTACCATACTGTCTTGATTACTGTAGCTTTGTAGTATAGTCTGAAGTCAGGGAGCCTGATTCCTCCAGCTCCATTTTTCGTTCTCAAGGTTGCTTTGACTATTCGGGGTCTTTTGTGTTTCCATTACAAATTGTGAAATTTTTTATTCTAGTTCTGTGAAAAATGCCACTGGTAGTTTGATAGGGATTGCATTGAATGTGTAGATTGCTTTGGGTAGTAGAGTCATTTTCAGTGTTGATTCTTCCAATCCAAGAACATGGTATATCTCTCCATCTATTTGTATCATCTTTAATTTCTTTCATCAGTGTCTTATAGTTTTCTGCATACAGGTCTTTTGTCTCCTTAGGTAGGTTTATTCCTAGATATTTTATTCTTTTTGTTGCCGTGGTAAATGGGAGTGTTTCCTTAATTTCACTTTCAGATTTTTCATCATTAGTGTATAGGAATGCAAGAGATTTCTGTGCATTAATTTTGTATCCTGCTACTTTACCAAATTCATTGATTAGCTCTAGTAGTTTTCTGGTAGCATCTTCAGGATTCTCTATGTATAGTATCATGTCATCTGCAAACAGTGACAGCTTTACTTCTTTTCTGATATGGATTCCTTTTATTTCCTTTTCTTCTCTGATTGCTGTGGCTAAAACTTGCAAAACTATGTTGAATAATAGTGGTGACAGTGGGCAACCTTGTCTTATTCCTGATCTTAGTGGAAATGGTTTCAGTTTTTCACCATTGAGGACGATGTTGGCAGTGGGTTTGTCATATATGGCCTTTATTATGTTGAGGAAAGTTCCCTCTATGCCTACTTTCTGGAGGGTTTTTATCATAAATGGGTGTTGAATTTTGTCGAAAGCTTTCTCTGCATCTATTGAGATGATCATATGGTTTTTCTCCTTCAGTTTGTTAATATGGTGTATCACTTTGATTGATTTGCATATACTGAAGAATCCTTGCATTCCTGGAATAAACCCCACTTGATCATGGTGTATGATCCTTTTAATGTGCTGTTGGATGCTGTTTGCTAGTATTTTGTTGAGGATTTTTGCATCTATGTTCATCAGTGATATTGGCCTGTAGTTTTCTTTCTTTGTGACATCTTTCTCTGGTTTTGGTATCAGGGTGATGGTGGCCTTGTAGAATGACTTTGGGAGTGTTCCTCCCTCTGCTGTATTTTGGAAGAGTTGGAGAAGGATAGGTGTTAGCTCTTCTCTAAATGTTTGATAGAATTTGCCTGTGAAGCCATCTGGTCTTGGGCTTTTGTTTGTTGGAAGATTTTTAATCACAGTTTCAATTTCAGTGCTTGTGATTGGTCTGTTCATATTTTCTATTTCTTCCTGATTCAGTCTTGGCAGGTTGTGCATTTCTAAGAATTTGTCCATTTCTTCCAGGTTGTCCATTTTATTGGCATAGAGTTGCTTGTAGTAATCTCTCATGATCTTTTGTATTTCTACAGTGTCAGTTGTTACTTCTCCTTTTTCATTTCTAATTCTGTTGATTTAAGTCTTCTCCTTTTTTTCTTGCTGAGTCTGGTTAATGGTTTATCAATTTTTTTTATCTTCTCAAAGAACCAGCTTTTAGTTTTATTGATCTTTGCTATCGTTTCCTTTATTTCTTTTTCATTTATTTCTGATCTTATCTTTATGATTTCTTTCCTTCTGCTAACTTTGGGGTTTTTTTGTTCTTCTTTCTCTAATTGCTTTAGATGCAAGGTTAGGTTGTTTATTTGAGATGTTTCCTGTTTCTTAAGGTAGGATTGTATTGCTATAAACTTCCCTCTTAGAACTGACTTTGCTGCATCCCATAGGTTTTGGTCGTCGTGTCTCCATTGTCATTTGTTTCTAGGTATTTTTTGATTTCCTCTTTGATTTCTTCAGTGATCGCTTCGTTATTAAGTAGTGTATTGTTTAGCCTCCATGTGTTTGTATTTTTTACAGATCTTTTCCTGTAATTGATATCTAGTCTCATAGCGTTGTGGTCGGAAAAGATACTTGATACAATTTCAATTTTCTTAAATTTACCAAGGCTTGATTTGTGACCCAAGATATGATCTATCCTGGAGAATATTCCATGAGCACTTGAGAAAAATGTGTATTCTGTTGTTTTTGGATGGAATGTCCTATAAATATCAGTTAAGTCCATCTTGTTTAATGTATCATTTAAAGCTTGTGTTTCCTTATTTATTTTCATTTTGGATGATCTGTCCATTGGTGGAAGTGGGGTGTTAAAGTCCCCTACTATGAATGTGTTACTGTCGATTTCCCCTTTTATGGCTGTTAGTATTTGCCTTATGTATTGAGGTGCTCCTATGTTGGGTACATAAATATTTACAATTGTTATGTCTTCTTGGATCGATCCCTTGATCATTATGTAGTGTCCTTCTTTGTCTCTTGTAATAGTCTTTATTTTAAAGTCTATTTTTTCTGATATGAGAATTGCTACTCCAGCTTTCTTTTGATTTCCATTTGCATGGAATATCTTTTTCCATCCCTTCACTTTCAGTCTGTATGTGTCCTTAGGTCTGAAGTGGGTCTCTTGTAGACAGCATATATATGGGTCTTGTTTTTGTATCCATTCAGCCAGTCTGTGTCTTTCGGTGGGAGCATTTAATCCATTTACATTTAAGGTAATTATCGATATGTATGTTCCTGTTCCCATTTTTCTTAATTGTTTGGTGTTTGTTATTGTAGGTCTTTTCCTTCTCTTGTGTTTCTTGCCTAGAGAAGTTCCTTTAGCGTTTGTTGTAAAGCTGGTTTGGTGGTGCTGAACTCTCTCAGCTTTTCCTTCTCTGTAAAAGTTTTAATTTCTCCATCAAATCTGAATGAGATCCTTGCTGGGTAGAGTAATCTTGGTTGTAGGTTTTTCTCCTTCATCACTTTAAAT